CCAAGAGGGGGGTGGGAGGCTGCCCGGGGTGCGGCCGCGGCTGGGCGATGCGGCTGATGGGCGCCGTCTGGGCGGCCGCGGCTGGGCGGGCGAAGAGGCGGGAGGGTTGGCAGGGGCTGAGGGAGGGCCTGCATGGTCGGGGTCTGGAGGGCGGCGGGCGGGGCCGGGGCGGTGGGGCGGGGCTGGACAGTCGTTCGGCCCAGAGCAGGCAGGAGGGCTCTCGCCGCCTCCCCATGCCCCCGCTTCCCTGCCTCCTCATGCACCTGCCCCCACACACCCACCCACACCCACAGGGCGCTGCGTGAGGAGCTGGTGGCGGAGGGCGTGCAGCCGCCCAAGCCGCTGGTGGCGGTGCGCCCCAACGACAGCCTGGCGGCGGTGGTGCGCACCCTGTTTGAGCGCGGCTGCAGCATGGCACCCGTGCTCGCCACGCAGGCCGAGAGCGGCAAGCAAGGTGGGGGCGGGCGGCGGCAGGGGAGGCGGGCGGCGGCAGGGGAGGCGGGCGCTGCTTGCGCCGCAGCGTCAGCCGCCCCCGCCTGGCTCCCTCCCCGGCCCCTTGTGACCTTGGTACCACCTGCCTGCCTGCCTGCCTGCGTGGCCGCTGCCGTCGCAGGCGCGGGCTCCGCCGCCTCGGCGGCGCCCTCGCCCGGCGGCGTGCCCCCCGCGGCGCCGCCCTCGCCCTCCGCCTCTGCCGCCGCCGCCAACTGCCTGGACGGCGACGTGCTGCACACGGCCACCATCAGCGGCGTGCTGGCCTGCCTGATGCGCCACTTCCGCGCCTCGCTGGCATCGCTGCCGCTGCTGGCGCAGCCGCTGTCGGCGCTGCCCATCGGCACCTGGGCGCCCACCAGCAGCCTGGCGGCGGGGGTGGCGCAGGGGGAGGAGCAGCCGCGGCAGGTGAGGGGCCGGGGGCGGGCGGGGGCGCGGGCTCGGCAGCCAGGCAGGGAGGCAGCCACAAACCAAGCAGAGCATGGCCTCATGTTGCTGCGCCGCCCTGGTTCGTGTGTGTGTTTGTATGTGTGGGCCCGCCGGCCGCCCGCCGCGCCACGCTACCCCCCACCCCCCCTCCCCCCCCATCCCCCCTCCTTCGCCGTAGACCAACGGCGGCGACCCGCGCCTGCGGCGGCAGCAGCGGCGCGTGTCCAAGCTGGCGTGCGTGCGTGGCGACACGCCGCTGACGCACGCGCTGGGCCTGCTGCTGGAGGCGGGGGTGTCCTGCCTGCCTGTGGTGGACGCCAACGGCGTGCTGCTCGACATCTACGCTCGGGCAGACATCACCATGCTCGCAAAGGTGGGGCGGGGCCGTGGGGTTGAGGAGTGGCGGCGCTGTGGGGTTGAGGAGGGGCGGCTTGTGGCGGCGTGGAGGCGAGGTGCAGCCTGGGCAAGGACGGCGGGGCTGGTGGGCCCGCCTGCGGAGGCGGCGGAGGCTCGGCAGCGCCGCCGGGCGCCTGGCCTCGTTCCCTCTCCCGCTGCTGACGCGGCCCCGCCGCCACCGCCGCCGCCGCAGAGCAACGCCTATGCCCGGCTCCAGTTTGAGGATGTGACGGTGGGGCAGGCGCTGGCGCTGGCGGGGCAGGCGCTGCCGCCGCCGCAGCTGGCGGCGGGGGCGGGGGGCGGCGCGCCGCCGCCACAGTGGGGCGGCTCCCCGCGTGGCTCCGCCTCCAGCCTAGGCGCCGACCCCGGCAGCCAGCCGCCGCCCGGCTCCAAGCAGCACCGCCTGCACGTGTGCACGCCGCACGACGCGCTGCGCACGGTGGTGGAGCGGCTGTCAGTGCCGGGGGTGCGGCGGCTGGTGGTGGTGGATGGCGAGAGCCGGCGCGTGGAGGGCATCGTCAGCCTGTCTGACGTAGCCGCCTTCCTGCTGCTCTGACGCGCCCACGGCGGCGCCCGAATGACCGGCAGGCTCGGCTGGCCACCCCACGGCAGCCCCCAGCCCGCAGCAGCCAGCGGCTGCGGCTGGGGGCGCCCAGTTTTGACTCGGCGGCGGGCCGCGCCCCCCAAGGGGGCATCGTGCCGACTCGCGCCTCCCTCGTGCGCAAGACACCACAGTTGGCGCGCCCCGCCCATGCGGCACCCAGTTTTGTTTCTTTTCCACTCCGCTGGTGGCATCTGCACTGTGCCATTATTTTCCCTGCTCCTGGCTCCTTGCCACTGCTGGCACCCGCGTGCTTTTGCATGCCCACACCGCTCCCTGACGCCACACACGCCAGGCCACGCACCGCCTGCCTGCCTGCTGCCGGCAAGCGCATGCGCCGCTGCCTCCCTTCCATGCCCTCACGCACCAGTGCAATGATCACCTGGATCACGCACACAGCATGTAATGGCGCAGGCTGATATGGGGCCAGCCGGGTGCAGGCTGAAGACTCCCCGCAGGACAGTCACAGTTTGGGAGTGAAAGTGAAGGGAAAGGGAGAGAGATTATCAAGCCGCAGGGCACTTGGCACAGTTGTCCAGGAATGTGAAGGCAAGGTGGATGTCCGCGGCCTTACTGAGCTTGTATGCATTTCGGGCCCGGCAGCCTCCCCGCTGCTCCGACGGCAGGCTGTCGCAGCGGCCGCGCACCCGGTCGATGCAGCGCACTAGTGCCGCGTCGCATTGGCACGCCACCCCAAAGCTGCGTAGGAAGGTATCCAGGCCGGGGTTGCCCATCTCACAGTACCGGTAGGCCGCCTGCTGCTCGGGCTGCTGGTGGCACAGGTCGTGGATGTGGCAACAGTGGTCCTGCATCCATATGCGAGGTCGAAGCGGCGCTGGTGTGGGAGGGCAGATAGCCCCACCCGGCGCAGACGCCACCCTTACCAAGTCATCTATGTATGTATCGCTCGCCACACTTGGCCCACAGTTTTTCCCGTATATCGGCTGCCCTAGTGCGAGCTGGAGCAGGCTCTCAATCAGACTGAAGCTTGCGCCGCCAGACTCGCCGCCGCCGGCACCGCCAAACAGGCTGCCAAGCGGGTCCTGCATTGTCCCTGCCACCCTGCCACCACCGCCGCCTGCAGTAGGGGGAGCAGTTGACAGCGGAAGCAGCAAATGCAATGGGTAGCGGCGGCGGCGGGACATGCCGCAAACATGCCGACCCATTTCAGCAGAGCCACACCTTGCACTGCCTCCCCTGGAGTGAGAGATGCGATGCAGACAAGCAGACAAATGGCTGCTGCCTGCAGTCGGGCACCCATGGCCTCGGTTCAGTGTCGGAGGGATGGCGGAGGTCGACTTGCAGGGTTGCCAAGGCACTGTTGAGAAGCACGACAGCAATTTAATGAACACGCTCGCCCGATCGGTGGTGCTCGCGTATGGCCAGCATGGCCAATCATGCACGCATGCACAGCACAGTAGGCCATCATGCAGCTTCAACGTTACAAGGAACAGAACCAACAGAACCAATCGTGAAGGGCAAGGGGCCAGAAGCTCTGCCAACCCTGCAGTGCTCTGGCCAAATTCTGCCCGCCACACAGGTGCTCAGGCCAGGCCCCGCAGGAGGTCGTCCACAATTACCGACAGGATCGCAAACTGCCCCTCCTTCAGCACCTGCTCCACCACATTCAGCGCCGAGCCCTGCACCGCCGGATCAAACCCCTGCCACTTGCCGAGGTATTCCTCCCAAACCGTGCTGCTCAGGCCCGCGTCAACCGCCGCTGGCTGCTGCTGGCAGGCCTGGATGGCCGCTGCCATGCGATCTGCCAGGCTGCGGGGCGGACCCGCTGCCGCAGCAGCAGCCGGCTGCTGCTGCGGTGCTGGAGGCCCCGCCTGATGCAGAGGCGCTGGCAGATCAACGGCGGCAGCTGCAGCCGCCGGCTGCACAGGCAACCCTGCCTGGGCCTGTTGCCCATGCCCCCGCGGCACGGGCGTGCCGCGATGCCTGCGCTTTTTGCCACGGCGGCGTGGCGCTGCTGCCGCCGCGCATGTGCCAGGGCTGCCAGACGCTTGCTGCCGCTGTTCCTGGTCCCCCTCGCTGTCCTCTGCCGTCGCCTGCTGCACCCCAGCGCCCCTCTGCCCCGGCCCTGGCTCCTGCTGCTGCTCCTGCTGCTGTCCCGGCTCCTGCTGCTGCTGTCCCGGCTCCTGCTGCTGCTCCTCCGGTTGCTGCTGCTGGGTCCACTCGGGCGGCGGGCGCAGGCTGAAGAGCTCCTGAGCCAGGTGCAAGTCCTCCACATCCCCATCCTCATACTCCACCCGGTGCGTGCAGAACATTTCGCGGTCAGCACGGCTGCTTTCGTCGAAGGACACCACCTTGCCTGCAAAGTGGGGCGAGCAGGGGGCGGGCAGGTGGGGCTGCCGGCTTTCCTCTTGCCCACAGCACGGCGTGGTGCCGGCGTGCTGGGAGGCCGCCTGCGCCGGGTGGTGCAGCAGGCGACACGCCAGGCGGGCTGCCGTTGCCACCCGCACGCCAGCGGGCTTTGCCCACCTTTGAACCAGGCGCCGTAGCGGCCTACTGCAGGCCAAAACACCCAGACATACACCTGGTCCGCGGCCAGCCGGTACCGCCGCTCCAGCTCCCTGCAGCGCAGCCAGCAGCCTTTCGGCAGAGAGGACACGAAACAGCGAGAGGGGGGAGAAGCAGGGGGGAAAGCGAGAGGGCATGAGGCTGGCCCGGCCCCACACCCACCTGCCGCAGCTGCGCATCCATGCAATGGCTGTACTGGGCCCGGAGTCTGGGGCGTGAGTGTGGGCCACTGCCAGCGCCGGGTCGTCATCAGCGCCTGCAGCGCCCAGCTCTCCCTCTCTCGGCGCACCACCGCTGCCACTGCTCTGGCCGCTGCTGCACGTGTGAATGCTGGCCTTCCATTTCTTGTGGCTGCCGCACCCTGCGCACCGCAGTCAGTAGGAAGCTCAGCCTCGCTGGAGTGGAGGGGTGTACCACCAGCAGCGGCGCCGCCACGGATCCCACTGCTGCATCTCCCTCCTCCAGCACCTCCTCCTGCCCCCATCCATCTGGGCTCCCTCGCACCTGCATGCTTCTCGAACACGGCGCATGTCATGATGCAGCCGCCGCCGGTGCGGCAGAAGCGCCCCTCTGCATCCAACTTGCCCTCTGCCAGCGTGTCCGAGGCGGTTGCGCAACAGGAGCTGGTGCACTTGATGAACACGTCCCCTTTGTCGTGCCCGCCCAGCAGCCAGCCTGCAGTGAAGGACGTTCTTGACAATGCGGAAATCTACAAGATGGAGGACTACCTTTTTGACAACTATTTCCCTCGATACCCAACCTATCAATGATGCGTCAGTGCTAGACGATCTGCCAATGATCCCGGGCGGCCACAAAAACATACAGAATGCAACGCAGCGACGTAGGCGGCGGGGGCGCCGTGACGAGCAGGCATCGGCATGGGGCGCCTGGGTTTCTGACGATCAGGCACGATCGTGCACAGGTCAGGCAGCGAAGCACAACATACTTTGGCGTGCAGGCCACCGACCTGTCTTGCGGTCTTCTCCTTTCCCAGCCCAGACCTGGCACAGACGCCTGCACCAGTATCGCTCCATTGCCTGCCTTTACTTGCCGTCGCTTATCATGCAGCCAGGTGAAACAAAGTTGGGCAGGCAATGTGAAACCCTTGGCATGGAGTCGTGGGCGCCCCTGGGAGGTGCTATTAATCTTCAAGCGTCAATTGACGCCAATGAGCAATGGCGGGAGCGCGCAGGGGTGCCGTAGGCGCTGGTTTTGGGGGGGTGCGCCTGAAGAAAGCAGGAACGCAATGCAAAGGCCCCAGGCACCGCACTCTCCCGCTCTGCGTGTTGTGCAAGTGTCATAGGCTTCGCAAACCTCGCCCTGTGTTTGCCCTGCTGCTTCCCTTCTCATCACACACATCCCGCAGGTCAGAGGGCCAGTGCAGTGGCAACTAGGTGCGTGTCGTCAGTATAGAGCCATTTATGCTGCGTGATGGGTGCTTGGCGCACAGCAGGGCCGACCTGGAGATCATCGCCGCTTTCTGCGACCTCAGGCTGCCAGACCGGCGCCTGTTCTGCAATCACCACCCTTGCAGGCTAGCAGCAGGCGGCAGGCAGCATGGACGTCGACCGGCCGCGCGGCGGGGCCCGCAAGCAGAAGGCAAGGGGTTTGCTGGCCGATGCGAGGGCCACCTGTGGTCCGGGGCGCGAATTGAGACTCTTTCAGGGGCGCTTGTGCCGTAGGCATGGCGCCCGGCAGTGGCGGCGGCGCGACCCACGCCTGCGGCGCGTCTCCCGAAAACAACCTGCTTATTCACTTGCGGATGCTTGGCTGTGTGCTGCGGTGCAGGGCCGCGGCTTCCGGGAGCCGATGGAGCTTGAGGACCGGCTGCAGGGCGGCCAGTTTGAGGCGCTGCCCTCGGACAAGGCCGGGCCCGGCCCCGCGAAATGTGAGCTCGCTGCAGGCGCTGGAGACAGGCTTGCCGGCACCAGTGCAGCCGTTGTGCCTCTGTCCCAGCCTGGCTTGGCCTGCCGGCCTGCTGAATGTAAGCGCGTGCTGCTGACGTGCTGCTGCAGCCGTGGAGGGCTGGGTGGTGCTGGTGACTGGGGTGCACGAGGAGGCGCAAGAGGAGGACGTGCACGACGCCTTTGCAGGTGTGTATGCATGGGCTGGTCTTGACGCTTGTCATTTGCCTGGGTGGGCGGGGTCTGCACTCACGTCTAACATGCAACAAAGCGTGCACGGAGGGTCATGCTGCTCTCTGACCCGGCCGCTGTTTTTGCATTCAACGTGTCAATGTCGTTGCCTCTGCTCCTCCCTCACCCCTCCTGCACAACAAACCAGAGTTTGGCGACGTGAAGAACATCTACATGAACCTGGACCGCCGCACCGGCTTTGTCAAGGGCTACGCGCTCGTCGAGTACGGCACCAAGCAGGAGGCGCAGGCTGCCATTGAGGAGATGGAGGGCAAGGAGCTGCTCACGCAGGTGGGTGTGGCGCAGGAGGGGGCCTGGTAGAGGTGTGTGTGTGTGGGAGGCAGGCCTGGGGCAGGCGCTGTGAGGTGGTGCCGGGTGGTGGCTGCACATCGCACACAGCCGGGGTGGATGGGGGCAGGAGGTTATGTAGTGGCGGCGCTGGCTGTGTATTCAGTTGAGGTGTGTCACCTCGCCGCCGCTGCTCCTGCCGCAGATTGTGCACGTGACGTGGGCGTTCAGCAGCGGCCCCATCCGCCGCGCACGGCGATGAGCGGGCGCGGCAGGCTGCATGCCAGCATGGGAGCAAGCGTTGGCGCATGCCATTGCAAATTCTCACTCCATGCCCGTCCGCTGCCAACTCCTGCTCCTTCTCCGTCACTCCATCCATCCTGATGACTCGCTCTGTTGTAACCATCCATACAGACGGCTGGCTGTTCTTCACACGCATGCCCGCTCAAAACAGATTTGCATTCACCCGCGCTGGCTTACAGCAGCTTGGTTCAGCTGACAGCAAGCAGCGCAGAGCGGAATAGTTATCAGGACGAATCAAATTGGCGCAGTTGCTTGCCGGTTCACTGATCTGAGCTTCCGTGGCGTGGCGGCGGGCGGTGCTGCTGTTGGTGTAGAGTCGTTCATTCGCTGTCCACCTTCCTTGCTCGAGGCCTATACCACCAGCACCACGCTGCTTTCAGTGCTCTACAGCTGCTTACGACTGTTCTTCTTCTTGACCCCAAGAGCAGCATTGATCGCCACAACCTCCTGGTTTGCCGTGGCCGTAAGTTGCTGCAGAAGGGACGGCCAGCAGGCGGCTCTCAAGACCAGCCCACAAAAGACAGCAGCAATCTCGCTGGCACCACCCACCAGCCATGCATCAGCTGTGACACCAGCCACCCGACCATCCACCCTGGGGCCAGGCATTGGTGCGCCTGTGCCACACATGTGCCCACCACACCTGCAGCAGCTCCTCCTGGGAGAGGTCGGTCTCGGGGTTGGCTCCCTCCATGCCCACCCGGCTGAAGTCGGGCTTGATCTCCTCCTCCTCATCGCTGGTGGTGGCAAAGCTGGAGTCGCTCTCGGCGCCGCCCAGCAGCTGGCTCACCAGCTCGTCGGCAAGCTCGGCGCGGGTGGCGACGCTGCGGGCAGAGGAGCAGCGCAGAGAGTTCGGGGCGGCTGGTCTGGAAGGCGTGCCGAGGGACAGGGCGAGGGAGGTGGGCAGGCATGCATGATGCAGCGGAGCCTCACCCGGTGCCCTCGGGGACAGAGGCTGCAGGGGTGGTGGTGGGCTGCGGGGTGGTGGTTGTGGTGGGGGTGGTGGTTGTGGTGGGCGCGGCGGGAGCACCCTCCACGTAGATGTCGCAGATGGAGAGGTTCTTGGGCACCGCCAGGGTCACATACTTGCCCACGCCGGTGCAGTTGACGGCCACGGCGGTGTTGGCTGGCAGGTCCAGGTTCTGAAAGACCGAGCGGGGCGAGGCGGTGGCGGGTGAGGCACAGCCAAGCAGCAGCAGCACAGCAGCAAGGGGTGGCGCCGGGGTGGCAGCTGATGATGGCAAAGGCCCGCACGCTCCACGATCGAGTGTTTGTGCTGCGCTGTAGTGCGTCAAGCAGGCGGAGCTGCCGGGCCCACGCACCATAGCGCACACGGGGTTGTCCATGCCGTTGTTGGAGGAGGAGTCGCCCACAAAGATGAAGGCACCCTCCGCAGACTCGCCCGTGGTCAGCTGCACGCTGGTCACCGCGGTGGTGTACTGCGGCGGCGGCGGGCAGCTGGGAGCACGTTACGCGGGGCGGAAGGCGGGAGGAGGGCAATCTGTCTGGCCTCTCCATGCCTGCGCATCTATACCGAGCAGTCGCAGCCCTAGGTGACACAGCCCCCAGCCAGCAGCCACTGTCTGGAATCAATGGCTGTTTGAGCTGGGCCCAGGCCAGGGGGCGCCCTCAGTCCACCCATCACCCCCCAGCTCACCGGCAGCACCAGTGTGAAGTAGTTGCCAGAGGGGTCCGTTGCAGCGGCGCAGGTGTCGCAGAGGCCGTCCACGGCACGCAGCGCCTGGCTGTACAGCAGGGCATTGTCCTCGGTGCCGCTGATGCCCAGCCCCACAAAGTCCTGCATGCCGTGGCCGCAGGTGGCGGCGGAGTCGTCGGCGCTGGGGGCCACGGGTGTGGTGTCGGGCACCTCACGAGTGGAGCCATCTGCGGCAGGCAAGCAGTGATGGCGGGGGCAGGGGTTGGTGGCAGGGAGATGCAGCAGCTCCAGCGGCGTCGGGGAGGGCAGCGTTGCTGTGCTGCCCTGCTCTGGTTCTAGAGAGAGCTGCATTCATGGGCTCGCCTTCTGGGCAGCTGCTGCCAGCTGGCTGTTGCCGCCCCAGCGGCGCCTCACCTGGGCAGTGGAAGGACTTGTCGGTGTTGGAGAAGACCTTGGGCACGGTGCAAGCGCCCGTCTGTGGGTCCACGCACCAGCCGGGCTGGTTCTTGACGAATTCGGCGATGCACACGCACTCGCAGGCCACATCGCTGAAGTTGCCTGCAGGGTGTGTCAGGTGTGTTGGGTGAGTTTGTTTGGTGTAGTGGGCTCACAAGGAAAATGCGCGGCAGGCAAAATGTGTCGAGGGAGTTAGCCGAGGCGAGGCGTGCCCGCCTGCCTCCCGCTGCCCCATGCCAGCCACGCAGCAATTAAGGCGGCAGCGGCCCATCAGCGACCCCGCCGAGGGAGCCTGGACTCACCATTGACGCAGGTGATGCCCTCGCAGTACTTGCCGCTGGGGAACCACATGTCGGTGGGCGGCTCGCAGCCCTCGGCCTGGCGCTGCTCGGCATACTTCTGCGCGCTCACCGGGTTCTTCATCCAGTCAATCACCTCGCTCATGGTGGCAAACCACACGTTCTCGTGGCCCAGGGCGTACTCAATGAACCGATTCATGCTGGCTGCACCACAGCAACAAGCGCGGGCAGGCAAGACAGCGAGGAGAGGCGGCGTGAGCGATGGCACAGCACCGGCAAGGCTTGCACAGGCCACCAGCCATGCAGATGCACTGCCGCAAACGTTAGGAGCAACAGCAAAGCTGCCCGCTTTGCGCACCGGCGCGGGTGGGATCCATGAGCCAGGCAGCGTGGATGTAGACGCCCACGGGGGCGCGGTTGCTGCGGGCAGGGCAGGCAGGGCCAGGTGGGAACACAGGCAGGGTCGGCATGCTGTCAGCCCTTGGCCATCTGCCACAGCATCATCTGCTCTCCACTTCCCACAGCATCAGCTGCGCTACCACCTGCCTGCCTGCAGCCACCTGCTCACAGCCCCCAGGCACTGCCCACTCACCCGCCGTAGGAGCGGTCGAACTCGCGCTTGTATGCCTCAAACAGGTCACCCTGGGGGTCCATGTTGGTCAGCACCACGTCATTATCGTCCTGGATGTCCCACATGGGGAACTCCCACAGGCCGGGCAGGGTCTCGTTGATGGAGCAGGGGCCTGCGGGGTTGAGGTAGAGGTGGGCCGGCGGGCTTGAGCCGACGGCAGGATTCCGGGGGTCGGTGGCGACCGCAGATCCAACTGCCCTGCGCTGCTGGCCTCGGTGGGGGTGACCGTCCACCTCCCCGCTGCATTTTGCTTCTCTCCGCGCTGGGAGGAAGGAAGCGACTTCGTACACCGGCTTCGTACACCTGCCCCATGTGGAGCAGCTGTGCCCGCTCACCCGTGCCCAGGTCGCAGCGCTGGGGCAGGCCGTAGTCCATGGTGTAGGGCCACAGGCGGTCGTTGGCCTCGGGGGAGGTGGCGGTGGGGTAGGGCTCCGGGATGGAGGAGTCGAAAAGGAAGCCTGCATGGCAGCGCAGCAAGGCAGTGGTTAAAGGCAGTAGTGCAGTGCTGGCAGCGGAGCAGAGAGCTGTGCAATAGCAGAGCTGTGCGCCAGGCGCGCACCGTTCTGCTGCAGGACGGTGCGCTGCTCGGGGGTGTGCATGAGGTAGGGGGCGCGGAAGCCCCGGATCTTCTCCAGCGGCACGTGCGCGGTCTGGTTGAGCCACAGCTTCATGCCCACAATCTGGAACAGGTCTGCACCACACCAGGCCATGCCAGGCCACAACACAGCTCAGCACAGCATGCACTCATGCCCAAGCCCAGCACAGCGCTGCGCCTGCCGTGCAGCCCATGCCTGCTGGCCCACCCACCCGGGTTGGCCACGTGGTGCAGCGTGTGCGTGCCGATCTCGTGGTTCTTCATGTACACCTCCTGCACCAGGTGGTAGTCGGTGTAGTTCATGGACACAAACCACCTGCAGGCGGGGTGGGGAGGGGGAGGGAGGGGGCGTGCTGGATGCGGGCCATGAATGACGGATGGACGCCTGGGTGGTCGGGGCGCGGCTGGCCGATGGGGCAGGCATCCAGGAGGGGAGCTGCGGGGCGTGCAGGCGCACATAGCGGGGATCTCGCAGCCCTGCGGGTTGTAGTGCGTGGTGGTGATGTCCAGGATGACGGGCATGGTGGTGATTGTGATGGCATCGTCGTTGGTCTGCATGCCAGCCAGCGGTGGCAAGCCGCCCGAGGGAACAAACCATGCTGCTCATGTCGCTGGGATGGAGAGTGTGCTGCCCCATCACTGGGTGCAAGGCGCCGGCACTGCAGGCTCACAGCGGTAGGCAAGCCACCAACTGCAATGCGGGGGGCCGAGCTGGGTGCCGGCGCTGAAGCCGCTCATATGCCGCAGCTGGGCCATATCATGGCGGCCCCACTCACCAGCACCACAAACTGGGGGGTCTGGTTGGGCGTAAGCTTGCCGGGGATATCGTGGGAGGCGCAGTGGCAGTTGGGCTTCTTTCCGCAGGACGCGGGGCAGTTGTAGCCAGGGACCTGCCAAACGGGTGGCAGGCGCAACAAGGCCGCGGCATCGTCGGCATGCAGGTGATGCCCATCTGTGCCAAACACAGCATGGCCTCCCCTCGCTGGGCAGTCTCCCCAGCGACTCTCCGCCACCCCAGCGAGGAAGCGTAGCAGCGGCACACCTGCGCTGGCTCCTGCGCCATGACCATGCAGGTGCTGCTCAGGAGCAGCAGGGCCGCCCAGGCGGTGGCGAGCCGGCAGCGCTGCATTTTCACGGTCTCTGCAGCGCGGACAGGGAAGAGAAGCAAAAATGCTGGGCGCATGGCTTCCCAACCGCAGGCAACCGAACATCAAACCACCGAGGGGCAGGCAGCGAAGCATGGTGGCAGCCAAGCCCACTCTTCGCTCCATCGGGCTGCGCATCCCCGCCCCGTCTGCCAGGCGGACCTGTGGAGGCTGTGGGTGCGCGGGTCTAGGGGTGCGCCGGTGTCTCCCTCCCAGCAGCGGCCTGCCTGCCTTGGACTGGCGGGGAACTGGAGTGGGTGTGGAGTGAGTGTCGACGGCAAGGAACGGACGGGAAATGCGCGGCCCGCGGCGGTCTATTCGAAAAAGAAAGCGGCCTGTCCAACGGTCGTTGGAGAGGCTGCACAGGCGCCAGGCGGGGCCCGCGGCTTTTGCAGTTGTGATTTCGGCTGTTTGGGTCGATCGAGGAAGTTGGACGTGACTGCCAGTGGCTTGTGTGGGTTTTCCCCTTGCGCCACCATTCACAGGTGAGGCCCGGCACCGCGATGCCGTCTGGTCAGCAGCCTGTCACCTGATGCTGCAGTGGCGGTGGGTTCTGCCGGCGCCAGCCTGTGGGCACCAACGTCCCCCCATGACACGGCCGGCGATGGCTGGCAGTGTGCTCGCTGCACCCCGCGATGCACGGGCACCGGGACGCGCGAAACCACATGCCCAGCAGTGGCCCCTTGAGAGGCCGCCGCCCTGCCGCTCACCGCCGCTCCTACCCGCCTGCCAACCGCCAGTCGCCCGCCCGCCAGCTGGCGGCAAACAAGTTGCTGTCTGCACATAATGAAGCCGCCTGCCCTGCCTGCCTGCTGCCATCAATGCAGGAACATGCAGGCGTCTAAGATCATGGCCTGGGCCACCCTGGCCCTGCTGCTGGGCGTTGCCGCTGTGCACGCCGCCGAGTATTGTGAGTGGCAAACGGAGGGCCGGCCCGCTCACCTGACAACTGTTCAGCCCATGCACCGCATTGTGTGGTGGCAACCATGCATCCCCTCACCTGTGCTGCATCCCCTCCTTGCTCACACCCGACTCGCGCCCCGCCGCTCCTCCACGCAGCCTGCCCGGGCACCTGCCAGAGCAACCTGGGCTGCCACTGCGCCTCCACCACGCCACCCGGCGGCATCGCCAATGGCGACGTGCCCCAGTTCATCGTGCTGACCAACGACGACGCCATCACCGTCGTGTCGCAGCCCATCATCCTCAACATCACCGAGCGCCACACCAACAAGAACGGCTGCAAGATGCCGGCCACCTGGTTTGTCAGCATCGACTACACCGACCCAAACCTGGTGAAGCAGGTCTTTGTGCGCGGCCACGGTGAGCGGGCGGGGCGTGAGCTGGCCAGACGGGGAACGAGGAGGGAGAGGGAGACGAGCAGGAGGCAGCCGGGCAGCATATGGATGGCACCCTCGGGTGCACCAGACCGGGCACCTCAGCGGCGGTACGCCCAACCGCTCCCCGCGCCTGCGTCCGCCCCCTCGTGGCTGCCTGCCCTGCAGAGATTGCCACCCACACGGTGCACCACGTGGCCAACCCCAACGCCTCCGAGATTGTGGGTGCGCGTGAGTGGCTCAACGAGACCGCCGGCATCCCCAAGGAGAAGGTGGTGGGCTTCCGCGCACCCTACCTCATCTTCAACCTCGAGCAGCGCGCGATCCTGCAGAAGAACGGTGAGTGCGGGCGGGCTGCCAGACTGTCGCCCCCGACTGCTGTTGAGGTATCTTGTCCTGGCTGCCAGCACCTGCACGACTGGGCCTGGCATGGTGCCAACATGCTGGATGTGACCCATCGGCGCTACCTGCAGGCTTCCAGTTTGACTCCTCCATCAGCGAGCAGTTCCCCTCCGACACCTCCCCCTCTGCCTCCGAGCTGCTGTGGCCCTATACCATGGACTACGGCCTGCCCCAGGACTGCTCCATCAGGTGGGGACAAGAACGGGCTCAAGTTTAGCCTGGAAGCGGGAACAACGGAGCTGAACACAGCCAGCTAGCGTGCCAAGCGCCTTGGTTGGTGGGTTTCGACACTGCCATCTGACCTTGCCTGGTTCGTGCCTGCCCGCCTGCTGCGTGCAGCACCGGCACCTGCGGCCTGACCGAGAGCCACCCCGGCCTGTGGGAGTTCCCCATGTGGAACATCCAGGACAAGACGGGTGTGACTGTGGCTTCCATGGACCCCCTGGTAGGCTGGCGCACTGGCCAGCCTTGCTTCTGAACGTTGGTTGCTAGTAATGCAGCAGCAATGCTGGCAGGCATTCCTCACGAATGCATGTATGATTGTGACATGCGCTGCCTGCTCCTGCCGCTCTTGGCTGCCATGTCTTGCAGGGCGACGCCTACGAGCTCTACAAGGATGAGTTTGACAAGCGGTACAACGGCAACCGCGCGCCGCTGGGCATCTACATCCACGCCGCCTGGATCATCGCCGACCCTGCGTGAGCACCGCCTGCGCCAGCAGCAGCACTTGGCCTTGCCGCGGCTGCACGCCCCTGCTGAGGCATGGCAGCATGGGAGTGCAGCATAGTTGCTGGCACCCATGCACCAGCTGGTCCACCCTGTCCTCCTCCCTCGCGCTGCAGCCGCGCCGAAATGGTCAACCAGTTCCTGGAGTATGCCATGACCCAGCCCAATGTCTTCCTGGTCACCGCCTCCCAGGTGGGCGGATGCGGGCAGGCGCGGGCGCATGCGCATCGCTTGGCTGGGTGGGAGGGGCGGGGCTGCGGGAAGGCGGGCAGGGCAGGACAGCAGGACCGCGAGGATCGAGCCCAAACCTGGCCTGGTCCTGGCCTGCCCAGGTGCAGGTTCTGGACTGGATGAAGAACCCCGTGCCCGCCTCCCAGTACTCCCCCAAGTGCCCCAGCGAGAAGGAGCTGATGGCGCTGCTGCCCCAGGGCACCGCCCTGTGCGTCATGCCCAATGAGGGCTGCGCCTACGTGAGTCCCTGTCTTGCAGCAGCCTGCCCGGGGCTGGGCTGGGGCCCACCTGGGCAAGTGCATGCCCCAGCCGACGGCAGTGCAGGCGCAGGCAGAGGATCCATGCTCGCTGCCGTTCACCTGCCCCTTCTTTCTTTAATCCGTGCCTCTGCAGGGCACCTTTGACAGCTCCGTGTGCAAGTGCAAGTGCCAGAACGAGGAGATCAACGCCGCAGGGTACTGCCGCGACCCCGCTACCGGCCGCTGCACGGTCCAGAAGGACTACGACTTCGACATCAAGGACTACTTCTGCCCCGCCCCGCCTGCCGCCGCCCCCGCGGCCGCCCCCGCCACCGCCGCCGCCGGCAGCGCCGCGGGCACCGCCCCCGCTGCCACCGCCACCCAGGCGCTGAGCGTGGAGATGGATGTGAGCGGCACCAGCCCTGCGGACTTCCAGGCCACCAAGGCCACCAACTTCTGCGCCCAGCTGCTGCGCCTCACCGGCGACCCCGCCGCCACTTGCAACGTCGTGTCGGTGGCGTCGGTCACCGGCCGCCGCCTGCTCCAGGTGCGTTCTAGATTGGCTGGGCAGCAGGCCGCGTGGTGCGTGCGCCAAAGCGCCACGCTGCTGGTGGTGCATGTGGGCTGGTGCATGTGCTGCAGCAAGCACTTTAAGCTGCCCTGCCCGGCCACCCAGCCCATATCGCACAGAAATGTAACACACGCGCCTGCCTGCCGCTGCCGCCTGCAGGACAAGGTGCACGTCATCGCCGGCATGGAGACCAAGAACGCGGATGCCACGGTGGCGGCCCTGCAGACCGACACAGTCTACACCCTGCTCAGCCCCGCAGGCATCACCGTGGTGCCCGGCACCATCAAGGCCGGGCTGGGCGCCCCCGCGGTGCCTGCCCCTGCCACCGACGCTGCCGCCACCACCGGCTCCGACACCACCACCACCGACGGCGAGGCCTCCACCACCGACTCCTCTACCTCCAGTGACGACGGCGGCTCCAACACGGGGGCCATCATGGGCGCCGTGTGCGGCGTGCTGGCCGGCGTGATCATCCTGGGCGGAGGCGCTTTCTGGGTGAGCGGGCAGCCGGGCATGCACGTGGAGGCCGGCGGCTGGCTTCGTGGGGCTGCGCCCACCACCTCTGCGCACCCAAACCAAGCATGCAACCAATCAGAGCACAGGCCAGGCCTGTTTTTTACAGCTGCTTTGCACTCCTGAAACCGCTCTGCTCGTCTCCCTTACCCTGCAGTACATCCGCCGCCGTCGGGCTGCCAAGGCCGAGGCCGACCTCACCGCCCGCACCAGCAGCTTCAACCCCGCTTTCCAGACCGCCGTGCACACCGGCGGCGTCACCGCCACCGGTGAGGACCTGGCATTGAGCGCTTGCCCTCTTGACTTGATGTGCCTGCTTCTCCCATGATTGCCATGCATCATCACCGCAATCCTTCCAACCAACCACCTTGCTTTGTCGTGCCTGTTGATGCTCCCCCTGCCCCGCAGTGCGCACCAGCCGCAGCCCCACCAAGAAGCAGCTCATGGAGAACGCTGTCAGCGAGTCGCCCCTGCGGGACTCAATGGTGCGCGCTCCCTCCCAGCCGCGGCAGCAGGAGTAGGCGCCCCACAGCTCCACCCCAGCAGTGTGCTTGAGCGGCCCACCCATCAGGGCGGCTGCAGCAGCTGGAGCGCCCCGTCCGCTCTTCTTCTGTTCGTGGCGGCAGCGCTCGCTCGGCCAGCCACCAAGTCGGGCATCGTCTGTTTTCTCTGCTAGTGCGCTGTCTTTTGGCTGTGCTCAATGGCTGTGTTTGGTGGCCACTCGTGTCTGGCAGCTGAAACAGGCTGACCCTTACGCCCCTAGGCTGTTAGTATGTACCAAGTCAATCCCCTGGGGGACGCTCTGCCTTGCTTGCTTCATCACGACGGTTGTAACCGGCTACAATTGACTCAACAACAGCGGCATGCATTCAAGGCAAGACAGGTCTGCAATCAGGAGGGTGCTGTTGGGGTAACCACAAGGATCGCTGACTACAGAGTGGCTAGGCAGGCAAACACATTTGTTCATTCAACGAATGGTACAGCCGTCTGCCGGATGCTGGCTGCCTAGGGATGGCTAGTGCACGCCTGGAGGGCTGCCGGTGCGCTGGCGCTTGGTGCCGCCTCCCCGCCCCAGGTCCCCGTGCGGCGGCGGCGAGAGGCTGTGCAGCCGCTCCACAGGTAGGTCCCATGGCGAGGGCAGCAGGTCAGGGGAGGCGTGCGCCGGCTTCTTGCGCTGGCGGTGCGGCGGCCTGGCGCTGCCCGGCGAGTGCGGGGTGGTGGCGGTGGGACTACCGGGATGCAATGTTGTGACTGCCATGGGGCTGATGCCGCCGTTCAGATGCTGCAGGGCAGAGCCGAGCGCTGCCGCGCCGGGCTCGGTGACTGGCTGCACACGAGAGGTGTTGATTGTCAGACGTGGCAGCTTTTGCAGTGCCATGGCTGCCGCCGCCACCTCGGCCGCGGCCTCCGCCTCCTCCACCGCCTCCGCCGCCGCAATCAGGCTGCCAGCCAGGCTGCGGCGCGGGTGTTGCGTGCTAGCCGCTTCAGAGGCGGCTGAGCGTTCCTCGGCGGCAGCAGAGCGACGAGCGGCCCGCAGGGCGCGATCCTCCTTCGTGGTGGCTGAAGGCACCACCGGGGACAGCACATCTTCCAGCAGGGATGCGGCTGCCTGGGCCGCCGCACGCTGCCTCTTGGCGGCCGCCGCACGCGGCCTGGCAGGGCCATTCTGCTGTGGCTGCTGCTGCTGCTGCTGCTGCTGTGGCAGGTGAGGCTGAGACCCACGAAGCGGCTGCTGCCGTGGCATCTGCACAGCATACGGCACCGATGCTGCTCCAGGCACCGCCGTCGGCGACATCTGCCGCTTCTGCACCATCACCGGCATGGGCACCGTGTGTGCACCAGGCAGCAGCGATCCTGTGGTCACCGACTGGTGCCCCCGCTGATTGCCAGGCATGTAGCGATGGGCTGCAGGCAGCGGCAGCGACTGGAACGGCGGCTGAGGCTGCAGCCGCTGTGGAGCCGGCACCGCGGCCGGGGCCCTGGCCAGCCGCAGGGCGGGCGGGGACGCCTGCACTATGTGCACCGGCCCTGGCAGCTGCACAATGCCCTCGGCGACTGGCGTGGAGATGAGCAAGGGGATGGAGCCTGCCGGCAGCGACGCGGGCTCAACGATGCTGGGCTTGGCGGTGCTGGCTGCTGCCGCGGGCCTGGCGGCGCCAGCAGCAGCCCTGGGCGATGAAGGCTGCGAAGCTGCTGCCGGTGCTGGTGCTGCCGCCGCACACGGCGATGCTGCTGCCCGTAGCGGGGCCGCAGCTCCAGGGCGTGCGGCAGGCGGGGCCTGGGAGGCTGGAGCCTTGCCTGCCTCGCTGCCCTGCGCTGCCGCGGTGCCTGCTGATGGCTCTTTCTTGCCCTTCTTGTTTGCATCCGTGGTGTCTGCCTTGCCGGCTTGCTGCTCCTTTGCCTGCTGCTCCTTCGCCTGCTTCAGCTGCAGCTCCTTCTGCTTCTGCAGCAAGGCCTGGCCAGCCAGCGGCTGCGGCAGGGGCTGGTCGTTGTCGTCGTAAAAGAAAGACCAGCCTGCGGCAGGATGGCGGGCAGCTTTGTGATGTGAGCAGCAAACCTCAACACGGTCAAATGCTCAGCAGTGCCCCATGGCAGCCTGCCGCACTCGCTGCAGGGTTGCTGTTGGCTCGACCAGCACTGCTGGCTCGACCAGACCAACTCAGCTCCCTCCCACACCCACCAACAGGCTTGTCCTTGAGCCATTCCTGGATGGTGGCCTGGCTGACAGGGATGTTGATCTTGGTTGCTGCGCCGCGGTACTGCACAGCCGCCATGTCCCACGCACGCGCTGCCTGCAGGTGCGCGGGGCATCAGCGCCGGCAGTGTGGGAATGTGACAGGCCACAGTGCCAAGCGCTTTGAGCTGCTCCTGACGCTCTCAGCGCACCGCTCCCCGCAGCTGCCTCACCTCCTCCTCCCCGTCAAACATGCCAATCTGAATGACCTTGTTGCGATGAGTGAACTGGGCGCGCCAGCGGCCGGTGGGCATCCTGTACACACCCTGCAACAGAAAGGCCACCGGACAAAGGGAGCGCAGATCGGAAAATGGCCAAAATGGCCAGCGGAACATGCTGACATGTGCCGGTGGCAGTGCCAGCCTGCAGCCGCCGGCGGCAGCGCTGGCGAAGGGTACAGCGGGGACGCGCGGCCCCAATGCTGCTGGCTCTTTCACTCTGGTCCTCTTGCCTAGACGAACTACCCTGCAATCACCTTGAATTTCATGGAGCGCATGGAGAAGGGCTTGGCGCCATCATCCGTCGGGGGCTGCAGGCAAAGAGGTGACTTCCAATCAAGGCAGCAGGGAGGCGTCCAGGCAGACAGGAATGCTGCTTGCTACGGTGACTGCGCTAGGACGAGTAGCTGGCTGGCCCATGCACGGAATTAAAGAATGCAGAGAGGCATGGCGGCGCCCCTCACCGATCTGACCGCAAAGGGAGCAAACTCGCCCCGCGCCTGCTCGTCCTGCTGCCCTGCCGCCGCGGCAGCAGCCCCCTCGTCTCCCTTTGAATCCTCCCCAGCCGCCTGCCCCTCGCCATCCTGCTGGGGTGGCTGTGGCTGGCGGGGCGGGGCGGCCTGCTGCTCGCCCGGGCCCTCGGGCTGCTTCTGGCGGTGAGCATAGGCTGGAGAGCTTGGGGGCGTGGTGGCTGGCGAGGGCTTGATGGCACGCGGCTCCACAGCTGCAGCAGGGGGATGCCACACACAAGGGGATGCCACACACATAGGCTAGGTGGCCCGAGTGGCGGCAGTCTGGCAAACTCTGGGTACGCCGGCAAAGTGGCAGAAGCTGGGGGCCCACATGCGATGGGGTGCGCTCTGCGGGTGTGCCTAGCTGCATGAGGGCAGCATACTGTACCTGGAGGTGCGGGTGGGGGCTGGCGGACCTGCATGCTGGAGCCAAAGACGTATTGGAAAGGGGCTCTGCCCTGTGCCGCCACAAACAGCGGGCCCACATCCGCCCCGCCGGCTGCCATGGCTGCACCAGCTGCGCTGCCTGCGGCAGCGACTGTTGGGGCATCGGGCTGCTGGCGCTGTGGAGGCTGCGGTGGCGGTGGCTGCTGCGCCTGCAGCTGCAGCTGCTGCTGCTGGCGCTGGCGCTGCTGCTGCTGCTGTCGGCGCAGCGCTGATGCGCCGCCGCTGTTGCGTGTGCGCGGTGCCTGGGCTGCTGCTGAGCGTGGATTGGGGTGGCTCTGGTGACCCCGGTGCTGGCTCTGCACCTGCTCCTGCGCCTGAAGCAGGCAGACCTGCTGGGTGGGCAGGATCAGCACAGGGCTGGCTGTGAACAGCACTGGTGCGGCAGCAGCTGGCCCTCTGGGGCTAAGCAGGGCCCCGCCGCCGCCGCCGGCAGGTGCGCCGCCAACTCTGCCGGTGGTGATGGTGGCGGCGCCAGCTGGCCGGGTGGTGCTGCCGTTGGGGGCACCAAACGCGGCTCTGTTGGCGGGCAGCAGCTGGGCGGGCAGCGTGGGCAGGCGCAGATGGGCTGGGACTGGCGCCCGTGGCGCGCGCGGCTGCTCCTGCCCCTCCACCTGCTGCTGGCTGCGGGCACCCAGCATCTGCAGGGCACGCAGGATGGGCTCTAGAGGGGCAGCGCTGTCCCGCATGCCTCCAGCACCTGCACGTGGGGCTGCTGCTGCTGCCGCAGGGGTGGCCATGCCGGCCAAGGCCACGCCCTGCCTGGCTGGCGGGTTTGGCTGGCTGCCACTGGCCCGGTGTTGGTCTGGCTGCGGCTGCGGGTCAGCAACAGTGGTGACAGCCTGCTTCTGGTTGTGCAGGGGGCTCAGATGGGGTGCAGGAGCAGGCCCTGCCAGCGCGCCGCTGCCTGCCGCCAGCACTGGTGCCGGCGCAGCGAAGCCTTGCACGGCGGCTACGGCGGTGGCGGCGGGCGGTGCAGCGGGCTGGTGCAGGGCCTGGGGGTGGGTCCCGGGGCCCTCCACCGTCAGGAAGTCAAGCCTAGCTTGCTCTGGAGAGGGCAGAGGCTTCTGCAGGAGGCGAGGGGAGCAGTGGAATCGGTAAGCCTTGGAAAGGCCCCTCTGCAGCTGCTCTGCTGAAGCTGCTGCCGACGCGCAGATCACCATGCTTTTGGGCGTGTCGAGCATCTCAGTAGACGGCAGGAGGGCGAAAGGCGTCAGCAACGGTGCATGTGGAGTCCAGTTGCCGCCAGTGGCTGCTGCAGGCGGCTGGAGGGGGCCAGGCGTGCCTACATCGCTGCCTAGGCCTGGGCCAGCCTCCATTAGGAGCCTGCTGCCAAACCAAGGCTGGGGAGGGGCCAGGAGAGCAAGAGCAGGTGCAGACCCAGCCACAGGCACTGTCTAAGACTCTGGGGCACTGCCGGGGAGCAAACAGGCAGTGGCTTTGGAGGAAGCTGAGGTGGACAGGAAGTGGAGGGTGTCAGCAATGCAAGGTCCTCGCTGGCGGTGAGGAGAAGCTATCGAGGCACTGCCTTGTGAACCCTTGGTGGCCAATGCTCCTGTCTCAATTGTGTGGCGTGTTTCTGGGGCTATAAGAGCATGTTTCGATGAGAGCACGTCCCTGCCAAGGGTGCTGGTCAAGCATGATCCCGGGCGTGGGAGGCGGCCGCGCAGGCGAGGCCCTAAGGAGCAGCCATCCTTGGAAGGGTGCAGCTTCTGTTGATTCAGGATCTGCTGCCCGCACCGCCTGCCCCGCACCGTTGCAAACCAGCTGCTGTCTTTCTCTGCCACTCCCAGCACAGACAGGGACCCTCGCTGCGTCATCCCTGGTCAGAACGGTGGGTGCGAGTTACACGCGGCGGCAACGGCCGGGGCGAACGCCAGGCAATCCTATCAAAGTGGTGCTGCTGCTGCACTGGGCGGCCCGCTGGTCGGCCGCGCTCCGCGCCACGCGGCTGCTGCTGCTGCTCCCAGGCTGGGGCGCTCAGAAGGCACCGAAGCTCTTCTTGCTGCCGCCGGCGCCCGCGGGGATGACGCGCAGCACGTTGAAGCGCACAGTCTTGGACAGCGGCCTGCAGCAGCGGGAGGCAGGGCGGGGGGATGCTGTGTGGGAGGCAGGGCGGCAAAGCAGGACGGGGGGCAGGAGACGGCGCAAGAGGGCGCACTAGGATGTAGGTGCGCCCCTTTTCCGCAGGCCACCTTCACGCATGCTTGCATGGCGTGCAAGAATGCAACCGCGCCATCCAAAACGCCACCTCGGCAAGCGCCAGCCGCGCACCTGCACTGGCCGATGATGACATTGTCGCCCTCGTTGCAGCGGAAGCAGGGGGAGATGTGGGCGGAGATGTTGGTGTGGCGCTTCTCGTACCGCTGGTACTTCTTGATGAAGTGCAGGTAGTCGCGGCGCATCACAATCGTGCGGTTCATCTTGGTGCTCTTCACCTGCAACGGACAGCGGCAGGAGAGGGGACGGGGGCAAGCGGGCTGTGAAGAGGTGAGCAGACGGGCAGCTAAATGGGAGGTGTTGGGAGGCAGCAGCGCGGCGGGGCGGCGAGGGGGGGCGGTGCGTGTTGCCACGAGCTATGCTGCAGGGAGGCAGCTGCCGGTGGTTGCCCCCTCGTCCCTTGCGCATCCCAGAAAGCGCATTGGCATGCTCCAGCCGGAACTGGCAGCTTCGCCAACAAAGCAGCTGCCCGCTGAACTGCTGAGCCGCCGCTTGGGCCCTGCTCCGAGATAGGCTGCGAGCCATCAGCTGACGCCCCGGTCGCCACTCCTGTCAGCCACATGCTCTCCCAAAGTCCGGCACTCCTCTGCTGGTGCCGAGCGCAGCGTTGTGGCGCAGCATGGCCGGCCCATATGCATGCACAAATGGCAGCAGCAACGGGCAGCATCCACACTAGCAGGCCCGTCGCCAGGCGACGTCGCACCTTGCCAGCCAGGATGCGGCCGCGGATGCTGACATTGCCGGTGAAGGGGCACTTGTGGTCAATGTAGTTGCCTGGAGCAGAAAGAAAGAAAGACAGGAAAAGGTGAGAGGTCTGCCGTATTCTTCACCCTTCACAGCGAGTGCCGCGCGGGTGCATAGCACTGGTGAGCACATGCGGGCTTAGCAGCACGCGGGGCTGACTGCTGCGCCGCTGCTGCTGCTGCTGCAGCATGTGGAGCCATCTGCTGCCCAGCCAATGCTGAGCAGGTCGGAGTCCCTCTCCTGGCTGTGCGCCGCATTTGCTGGGCGGCTGGCAGGGTCAGAAGTGGCTAGCACAGCAGCAATTGCGCTGTCTGCTTGTCATTCTGGTCGCTGAGACTGCCCACAATCCCATACTGCCTGCTGCCTATGCTGGAGGTGCGCATGCCGCTATCAAAATGCTTGCAAGCGTTTAAAACGCTTGCATGATGCTCTTTTGCCGCCAATCAAGCGTCTGCGCTGCCGACACTTGATCTTCCATTCCAATTTGCACCGCAGCTGCAGGACTGACTCCCATTGCATCATGTTGCTGTGTCCGGCGCTGTGCTGCACGTAATGGTGAACTGCTGCACTGCCGCACCGATGTGCCGCGCGCCGCCACACGAGCGAGCAAGCTGGACGCCACTGCAGGTGGCCATGCTGCTGGCCCGCAGCTTGACGCTGGTCCCTCCCCTCCCCCGCCCTTCCGTACGGGCGAACATCCCTGCGTCAAGCTGTGCTCACCCTCAATAGCCTCCTTGGGGGTGCGGAAGCCCAGGCCCACATTCTTGTACCACCGCTTGCCGCCCTTGCCGACAATGTTCTTTGCGGGCTTGTTGTAGCTGCAGGCGGATGGGGACAGCAGGGTACGTCAGGCGTAGCCGTCTCCCACTGCACACACCCCAGCGACTTGCAACAACGCAGCAGCAGCGCCGCCACTGGCCGCCACCGAGCGGGAGCGGCGGCTGCTCCCTGCCGCTTCCCCCCAGGCCGCCTCCTGCCCGTCGGATGCCCCGTCCTCACCCGCGCTGGACGGCCAGCTGCCGCTGGAATGCCCTCTCAGTCTGCATGGCAGGCGCGGCGAGAGCATGTCAGGGGCTGGCCAGCCAAGAGACGCCGGCGACAGGCGTTGCACGCAAAGGATGCGCCAGCAAGGTGGATCCACAGCGTTGGCGGCCAGCGATGCAGCGGCCTCGCCCACCTGGTCAGCCATGATGCCAGCTGAGCTGCTGGTGGCTTGACTCCTTCCCAACAGGCCAGCCAGAGAGGCAGGGGCAGGGGCGGAGGGCGCACTTGATGGCCACCGAGGCCACGTCCCTGGTCCCCGGAAACAGAGGCGCGAGCTGGGAACGGGCTCCAAACGGGCCAGACACTGGGAATTGATACTGGGACAGCACTCCAATGTCTTGTTAGCGTGCAGCCATGCGCCCGAGCGACAACTGACGTCCAGTGTTGCCTTCGGGGCGCGCCCGATGCCCAAGGCAGACGCCCTGCTGTATGCCGCGCTGCTGCGCATGGGCAGGAGATTCAGGGTGGAGCGGCTCCCTCTGATGGGTGTGGCGGGCACAGACGTGGTGTGCCACAGCCTGGACTGGCAGGCGACGGCGCGGCGGCAGCTAGCGGCACCGCCGCCAGGCCTGGGGCTAGCAGGCAAGCCAGGGACGGTGCCAGCCCAGCCAGCACTGCGAGGCAGGCTGCTGTTGATGGGATGCCACCCCCATGCATGGGCGGCATGGCAGGGCACACCCCTGTTCTTTGGAGCGCAGGCGCTCCGGGCATGTGTGCGGGCTGCGGCTGGATTGCTGAGACTGTATTGCTGCCGTGCTGGGGTGTGACTGCAGATGCGGCCAAGCTGTTGACGCGGCTGGGGCAGCAGCTGACGACGCTTCTTCAGGCGGAGGAGCACACCAGAGAGGCGCTCGCCGACTGGGCGGCACTTGCTGCCAGCTTCAGCCCCCGGCTCCGCGGCAGCAGCAGTAGCGGTGCTCCTCGAGGTTCGCCTGCTCGTGCTGCAGCAGCAACAGCAGCAGCAGCGGCAGAGGAGGGGATGGCGCTGCTGACGCGGCAGGCGCAGGAGCTTACAGACCCGCTGCAGCACGAGCTGGAGTCGGGAGTGGAGGCCGCTTCACAGCAGGGGCACGAGCTGCCTGCAGTCAGCCTGGACGACTTGGCGGCGGCCGTGCGGCAGCAGCACCCTGCTCTGTTTGCGAGCACCGTCGGCATCCCAGCTGGGAGCGGCAGCCCTGCCCATCAGGCCGGCGAGGGCGGCGCCGAGCTGCGGCTGCACCAGGCGGCGGCATTGTGGGATGTGCTGCACCGGCAGCAGCGGTTCAAATATGAGCCGTTTGAGTGGGTCTATGAGGGTCTGCAACCACTGCTGCTGCCGCCATGGCTGCATCGCCGCAAGCTGGCGCCGCTGACACTGGGAGTGGTTGTGGCGGGGGTGGCGCGCCGGCTCGGCCTGCCGCTTCTTCCGGTTCCGGCAGACGGCGGCGAGGACATTGCTGCGGGGGTGATCGAGGGGCCGGCAGGCGGCGCCACGACGCAGAGCCAGCTGCCGTTGGAGCAGCTGCGTCCCGATGTCGCGCAGCGCTACGCGGGCCGGGCACAGGGCATGGCACCCTCGGCGGCGCCCTGGGTGCTCCTGCTGGCTGGAGGCGACTGCGAGGGCGCCAGTGGCGCTGGAGCTTGGGACGGTAGCTTTCAATGGACGCATGTATTGGATGCCTGCACTGGAGAGGCGGTAGACATGGCAGCAGCCCCGACCAAATACCCCACACTCCAGCTGGTGAGTGGTACCGGTAGTGCACTCCAGCATCACGCAGCGTGCCTGCGTGACCCTTCTGCCCCCCAGCTGCCGTTGCTTGACTTGTGTGCCGCTCCTGCGGTGCAGTCGGCAGATTGGCATGTGGAGGCGCCGCTGGTGGCCTGGCAGCACATGGTGCGCACCATCATCCAGGTGCGCGTGTTGAGGCGCCTGGACTTCCCCTGAATTGGCATTGTTGAGCCCAAAACGTTTTCATGAGCTGGCGTGTGTGTGCTGCCCACTCTCTGAGATTGCCTGCTGCTGATGCCGTCTGCCCTGCTGCCTGGCTCGCCCGCCTGCAGGCACACCAGCGGCGTGGCGAGAGCGATCTGGTGGCCCACTGGGTGTATGTGCTGCTGGCGCTGGACCCGCAGGCGGCGGAATGGGAGTTTATGCTGCAACCAGCCGCGTAGCAGCGTGCTAGTTGGCAGCTGTGCTGGCTGGCGGAAGGCCACAGCTCACCCAAGTTCAGTTTTGTTACTTCATTACCAACCTGCCCTGTACAAAACCATGTCCACTGCAGTTTTGACCCCCCCTTCTACTCCCTGACTTCTTTCAGAGTACTCTCTCTGCTGCTCAGCTGTTGCATTGCCCCCTTTCTGTTTCCAGGTTGCTTCATGCAATGACGTACAAATGATGGTCACAGCCCAGTTCATAATTGCTCTCAGTTGACTGCTGTCACGCCCACTAACTGCCAAAGCCCTTCTTGGCGCTGCTGCCTCCTGCCCCATTCTTCTTGCCGCCTTGCCGCTTCTTGCCGCCCTGCAGCGCCTGCCGCAGCTGGTCAGTCTCATCCTGGTTAGCTTCCTTGCGAGCCTGCCGCTCTGCGGCCGCCGCCTGTGCCTTCTTCTGCCGCATCTTCTCTTGGATCTGACGCAGCAGGCGTGGCAGGGCCGGGCAGGGCAACTCGAGAATCAGCAACTTTCTAGGCCACAGTATTCGATCGCCGCGCTAATGCCAGCTCGCGACCTGCCCCACTCTGCTCATATGCACGCCCACCAACCTGCTCCTTTAGTGCATCGAGGCTCATGGGCGACGCCTGCTGCTGGCCGTCATTCAGCATCACATAATCCTGCAGCTTGGACCGCAGCGTCTGCTCGCCTCCCTCCCCTCCGGCTGCCACTGCAGCTGCCGCTGCAGCGCTGCTGCTGTTCGCGGCAACCTGCACTGCCGCTACCTGCTCCGGATCGAAGCCAGGGGGCGGCTGCTGGGCCTGGGCCCGCATAATGTCGGCCAGAAGGCTGCGCAGCTGCTTGTCCAGAATGGTGGAAGTCACTGCACAGAGGGAGCGAGGGAGCAATGTGTGCAGGCCTTGTTGATACAAAATGCAAGTCCTGCTAAATACATACAGTAGCCACCCTTGCAGTGCATCAGGGTGTGCTCAGGCGGCAGAGCGCGCCTGAAGCAAAAGCCGGCGCCTGTAGCCCTGTGTGCTCCGTCCACCCCTCCATGAGTGCCACCTGCTCCTCGCCAGACATTCCGCTGAAGAATGCCACTGGAGGTGCATCAGCCGGCTGCTGCTCCCACGGCCACTCTGGCAGCGAAGCACCATTACTGCCGTCGCCCTCTAACGCTTGCCGCAGCGTGCCGGATGCCAGCAGGGCTGACGGGCAGCAGGACACCACAAATTGGGGGTCCATCTGCTGAAACCAGCACTGCACTGCCTGGCAATCTCTCTCGCTCATCCCGATGAGAAGCAGGCCCTGCGGGGAGTACAGCAGTGTGCACAGCGGCTGCCAGCTGCAGGAGAAGAAGTTTGGATGGCCACACACCTGAACAGAAGAGACTGTCGCAGCGCAGAGCGCTCTCACCCGTGGGCCAAAGGATTCTGCCTTTCGCATATCTTCCAGCTTGCTGGGATTGAGCTGCTGCGGCGTCACTACAAGCCTTTTGCCTGGTGCACCGGGGTCGACAAGCTGGGCCCTGGGCACCACAGGTACCGATCTATATGGCCTGCTCTTCAGCTGCGCCGCCGCCCATCGGCCAGCCGATGGCGGCTGGACCAGCTGGGCACCAGGCGCCATGCTAAACGCCCTGCCTGGTGTGATGCGCCGCTGCACAGGCACGGGCTGCAGCTGGGGCTCCAGCCTTGCGGGCTCAGTTGCGGAAGTCATGTCGGCCTATCCAGCTGCGTCCAGTCTGCGCGGTGCACTGAGACCTCTTTATGATGATTTCGCGGCGCAATCAGACCCTTGACGCATGACGGGGTTGCGCTTTTCAGCCAGCCTGGCCCTCTGTCAAAATTTTGGGCTTTCCCCAGGCGGCACAGCCCCTATTTGAATCGGCACAACCCTGCTTGGATTGCTGGGAGACCTCCTCCAGGCAACCTGCATGGCACGCAACAAAACCCTGCTTGCCCTGCAGCTAGCGCAGCGTGGAATGGCCAGCAAGAGGGATGGAGCGGCTCCGGGGGGGGCAGGCAAGAGGCAGAGGCTGCTGGCACCCCTGCCTGCCCAGGCGGCGGCAGGCGGTGGCGTCAACAGGGTGGTCGCAGGTGACAACAGCCACCGGGCAGGCAAAGGCAGTGCTGGCAGTCGCGGCGCCAAGTGCAAGGAACCAGGGCCGGGAACCATCCAGCTGGGTGACGGAGCGGCCGTGCGCTATGCCACCGACCTCCTCGCCCCCGCTGAGGCGGCAGCCCTGTTTGAGCAGTTGCGGCACGAGCTGCCCTGGGAGCAGCGCAGCGTGCACGTAATGGGGCGCACAGTCCTGCAGCCCCGCCTCATCGAGTACCAGGCAGACAGCAGCGACCTGCAGTACACCTACAGCGGCGCAACACTGCAGCCTTCGGCGTGGCACCCTGCCGTGGCCGCGCTCAAGGCGCGGGTCGAGGCGGCTGTGGGCTCTGATGCGCCGGCCGGCGGCTTCAACAGCTGCCTGTTGAATTGGTACAGAAGCGGCCAGGACAGCATTGCCTGGCATTCGGATTCTGAGCCGCTTTATGGAAGGCGCCCAACGATAGGTGCGCGTGTAGCAGCTGGCGTCGGGCCAGATGTCATGGAAGAATTGATTGAGTCGTCAACTTGTCCCCTCACTCCCGTGTCCCATCCATTTCTCCTTCTCCTACCTGGCGACGCGATTTATCGATGGCCTGTTCCCTGCCCTGCTCTGCCCCTGCTGCATTTGCAGCCTCTGTTTCGCTGGGCGCCTCGCGCGACTTCTTGCTGCGCCGCAACGCCGACCACGCCGACAAGTACCGTTTTAGGCTGGGCGGTGGCGCCCTGCTGGTGATGTCGGGCAGCCTGCAGGAGGGCTGGATGCACAGCGTGCCGCGTCGGCCTGCACTGGCGAGCGAGCGCATCAGCCTGACGTTCCGGCGCATCGTGCTGCCGGAGCGGACAGCGGCAAAGCGGCTGCTGCCGCCGCTGCAGCAGCGAGGGCCCGGACCCGACCCGGCGTAAGCCAGGGAAGCGGCAGCCTGTTCGCCAGGGAAGCGGCAGCCCGACAGGCATGTGGACAGCTGGGGCACAAAGAGCGCTCACACAATCGCTTGCACAATTGGAAAGCAGGGCGGGGCTGGCCAGCATGCTGTAGCAATCAACCATCAACTGCTCCCATTCTCTGTGCAGTGGTGCCTGCAAGCGCTGTGACGCAAAGGAGACCCACGCCACCTTCAAGGTGCTCACATCTAGTTGAAGGTGGGTGGGAGTGTGGGTCAACGTGTGATGCTCCAGCCCAGCCAAGGCCCAGCGTGCCCTTCGCAGCCAGTATGGCAGCTATCACGGCCCATCGCAGCAGGCGATGCGGCCGGGCGGGTGATCGTGTCCTTCGAAGAACGACCATGCCCCGAGACGCGGTTTACGGTCGCTACGCCCCTCGTCCTGCGCCGCGTTTGAGGTTGTGACACGCCGCCTTGCGCCCCTCAATTGCAGCCGCCTCCCTGCAGGCGGTCCTTGCACGCCACCGCCCGCCACCGCCGCCAGCCAACCATCACCAATCGCAACCATGTCGGCCGCTGCCCCACGCGCCCTCCTGGTCCTGCTGGTGGCCGCCTGTGCCACCGGCGCCTGGTCCGCTAGCGATGGTGAGCTGCTGCAGGGGTCCCAGTCAATCCCGCACCTGCGCCCGCAGCACCCACTCACCGCCTGCCGTTGACCGCACGACTCCTGCCGCCGTTGGCCGCTCTGCTGCCTCGCAGTGCTGTGCCAGACTTACGTGGTGCAGCAAGGCGACTCGCTCTGGTCCATCAGCCAGCGCTTTGGCCTGCAAATGGACGAGCTGACCGCGGCGCTGGAGTCTTGCGTCGGCTACTCAGGCATCCTGTCAATCGGCCAGAAAGTGTGCCTGTCCGGTTACATCCCTGCCTGCGACTATGTCGTTGACTCAGGTGGGTGCACCGTGCTGTGGGTGCTGGCAGTGCAGGTGCAAGATAAGCATGTGCCAGGTGGCCGCTGCAAGGGCAGCAGCCCCCCTGACCTGCCTGCCTGCCTGGCTGCGCCGCGCTGCTGCAGGCGGTGTGGCCAACTGCAAGGCGTACCAGATCCAGACCGGCGACACTCTGGCCTTCATTGCGAGCACCTTTGGCATTTACCTGCAGGTTGGGCCCAGTGCATGCTTGCCGCTGCTTCCTGCCTGCCACAGCGCCCCCCTCCAACCTACGCACCCCCAAGCGACCCACCCTTCTCGCATCGCAGGACCTGGTGACCCTGAACCAGGAGTCCTCTGGCGGCGTGCTGCGCCCCGGCACCTTTGTCAAGCTGCCTCCCTGGACCTCGGTCTGCCCAGACCCCGACTCCGATGCCCCCTCCTGCCGCGTCTACGGCGGTGTGTGCAGCTGCGGGCAGGCACGGGTGTGGATGTGGTGCATGCCCGGTTTGCTGTCCATGAGGAGCAGCAACCACGCTGCGCTGGCTTCCTCCGCCCTCCCACCATCCGCTGACGCACAGCTCCGCCTGCTTCCTGGAATGCAGTGCAAGCCGGCGATTTCGCCTTTGGCATCGCCAGCGTCTTCAGGGTCACACTGCAGGCACTGCTGGATGTCAACCCCGGGCTGCAGCAGGGAACGGTGCTGCAGGCTGGCCAGCGCATCCGTGTTCCCCCCTTCCCGACCGAGTGCGGCAATGGTGAGGCAGCGACTTTTACCCAAAATTGTTAAGACCGTGTTGTGCCAGCAATGATGGGGACTGCTCACCTGCTGCCTGCGCCCTGGGACCCGCTGACGCTGCAGGCTTGCTGTCCACCCCGCCCACCACTGGCGTCTTCAGCTGCCGCGCCTACAGGGTCAAGACCGGCGACAGCCTGGCCTCCATCGCACTCCTGTTTGAGACCACCACCGCCTCGTTGGTCTCTGTCAACCCCGAGCTGGTGAGGTTGAGTGGTCAGGCAGGAGGGAGACGAGCAGACTGCATATAGGAAAGTCACGAAAGGCATGGGTCTGGCCCGACCAGGCTGAGACTTCCTCAACGCCGCTGTCACGGTGGTGCCGTCTGTGCCACCTGCCTCTGGCCCCTGCAGGCTAACCCCAGCCTGCTGACCCCCGGCTACATCGTCAAGATTGCGCCGTTCCCCGCTGAGTGCATCAACGGCATCCTCATTGAGTGCGTGCAGCCGCCAGTCTTGCTGACTTTGCAGGCGAAGTGTTGGGCACAGCCTCTGACAGTGCTGTTGTGTTGCTGCACAACCCAAGAGCTGAATCGCCCTCTTAGTCGCATGGTGCCGCCTGCCTGCAGCCCCAGCGGCAACGCCCCTGCCACCCCGTCCGGCCCCATTACTGCCTACTCGCCCTCCCCTGCTACGCCAACACCTTCACCCTCGCCTGTCGTCACCTCTCCCTCCCCGGTGGTTGCCAGCCCATCGCCCGTGGTTGCCAGCCCATCGCCTTCACCTGTGGTCCCCTCGCCTTCACCCTCCCCCGTCGCTGCAGCCCCCAGCACCGGCATCAAGGTTTGCACGCTGCCTGTTTCACATCCAGGCATCTAGCAATTCAGCCTGTCACCTCCGGCACCATTGCAGCAGATGCCTCTTGGTGCCTCGCCTGCTGCCCTCAAATTGTTCCCTGCCATAGCATGGTTTGCGAGCTCCACCTTAGTGCAGGCCACGATGACGCTGTCGGGCATCAGCAGCACCTCCTTTGCAGCCTCCAAGTCAACCGGGCTGGCTTCCACCATCGCCAACCTGCTGGGGGTGGGTGGAGGGGCGTGCAGGCTCCGCTGCTGCTCCATTTGTGTGGTGTAGCTGCCGCTCTGTTGTTTACAGGCTCTGTTGCTGCTGCAAAGGTCTGCTGCCCATGCTGCGCATGGTCTGACCGCTGCTGCTTCCCACCCCTCCTGTATGCAGGTGCCCAGCAGCTGGGTCAGCGTCAGCGCGGTTGAGGCGGCCCGCCGCCGCCTGCAGGCCGCCAACACCACCGTCGTCACTGTGACTGTGCCCACCCAGACGCCTGCTGCCGCCGCCACCAAGCTGCAGTCGGCCGCAAGCAGCGGTAGCCTGGCGGTGCTGCTGTCCCAGCTGGGCGTCACCATGGCCCCCAACTCCCTCACCATCACCACATACGGCATCGTCGCTGCCTCCCCGTCTCCCGCTCCATCCCCCTCTCCCGTCGCGGCCTCCCCCGCCCCAAGCCCTAGCAGTGTTGCACCCCCAAGCGCCTCCACCTCCAGCAGCGGCAGTAGCAACGTGGGCGCCATCGTTGGTGAGCCAGGCCTGCCATCGGCATCGTCATGTGCTTGTCGCGCCTAGCTGGCATGTGCGCAGCTGCCTCAATGCCTGTGCTGAGCTTCCTGCTGGCACGCCTGCCATCTCATCGCAGGTGGCGTGGTGGGCGGCGTGGCCGGTGTGTGCTTGATCGCCGCGGTGGCCTGGCTGGTCATCCGCAGGCACCGTGCTGCTGCCGGTGGCGGCGGCACCCTGGGGAGCGCCCACTCTGGCGGCGTCACCGCCAGCGTGACGACTACTGGGCCCAGCATGACGATCAAGACCCGCACCGCGCACCTGACAGACAATCAGGCGTACAGCTCCAGTCCCCGCAACTCTGTCACGCCCCGCACCCGCGTCGGCAACATGGCCTGAGGCTGGGCTCGGCAGCCGCGTGCCGCCAGCCCCCAATGGCAAAATAGCAACAGAACAGAATCATCAATTAAGGTTTTAGCGCAGCCAGCAGGAAATGCTAGGAAAGCTATGAGCAGCAAGACACTTTGTGATGCAGCCCATGTTCCCCCCCCGCTGTATCTCCATGTACATTCCCTGTGCCCCCCTATTAATCGACCGTGACTATCTGTTTGCTCAATGTAACGTGAATGACGTGTCAGGTGTTCAGGGCAAGCACACGCCTGGCGGCGCCTGGCCCAGTGCCGCCGGTGCCTCCGGCCACTGCCATACAGCTCTGTTTTGGGGTTTGGGCAGTGCTACCCCCACCATAGATCAGACTCATCTCCATTTACCTGATGTATTGCGATCATAATGCAAACTTGGGCTTTAAAGACCTGCTCAGGAAGCTGCAGGACCAGGAAGATTCAAAACCCCCCGCTGCCCGCCCCGTCACCATTGGCCAGATCAGCCAAGCCGCGTTCTTCTCATCACCGCCCCCAGCCGCCGCCGCCCATCTCAAGTCTCTTCGCAGGCAAGCGACCCACGTCTGGCGCGGAATCCAGGCACGTGCGTTCGTCCCTTGCAACAATATGCTGGGCGACAGGTGGAGGAGCGCGGGCTTCCGCCTTCCACTCGCGCCTCTCCAGAAGCTCCAGCATCCATTCTGACAGCTCTTGAATGCGCGCTGGGGCCTGCAGGTGCCGGGCAGCCAGGTTGCGAGGCCATCATGCGGACGCCGTTGCTCCTGGCCGTGCTGCTGGGCCTTCACGCTGTCGCGGCTGACACAATCACCAAAGGTAAGCTGCTGGGCGGGCCAGTACGGCTTCCGGGGCACTGGGCCGCGCGCCTGACTAGCCGCCTCCCAACCGCCGCCGCCGCCGCGCATGCCGGAGGTCCTTGAACCTTCATCCATACCGTCCCTTCTGGTAGCAGAGTATGGCTTCTGCCCCAAGTACGCCATCCAGTCGGGAGACACCATCTTCCAGCTGGCCGAAAAGCTGAACGTCACAACTGGTGCGTGCGCCCCACGGTGGCCGCTGCCAGCCCTCCTGCTGTTGGCGGGCGGGACTTGCACCTGCCAGCATGTGGCGCCCTTGTCTGCATCAAATGCTCTTCCCTTGCATTGCCCCGAGGGTCTCTCTTCTCATCCGCAGTCACGACCAGGAGCCGTCAATTGCCGCCGAGCGCCCACTAACCGCACCCCACCCGCTGCCGCTCCCCACCGCTGCCTCGCAGAGGCGCTCACGGAGGCGGCCACGGGCTGCGGCGCCGACCTGTCTCTGCTCCAGATTGACCAGGAGATCTGCCTACCTGGCTACAACAGTACCATCTGCACCCACGTGCTGGAGACAGGTGAGTTGTGGCGACGCAGCAGGTGCAAATGAGCCGGCCTCCCTGCGCAACCCTTCAGCTGCGCTCCATGCCAACCTGCCCATCATGGGCCCCTGCCCTCCCCTTTTCCCTGCCTGCAGACCCGGACCGGCCCTGGTGCCAGGTGTACGAGGTGCAGGATGGGGACACCATCACATCGGTGGCCGCCCTGTTCAACATCACCGAGGAGGACCTTGTGGACCTGAATGCCGGTGGGTGGCGGCGGAGGTGCCGGCGGCATGCTGCTGGCGGCGCTGGTGTAGCATGGGTGGGCGTGTGGCTGTGCTGGGCCAGGAGGAGCGCTGGCGGGGCAGGGTGGCAGGCAGTGCTGGCATGCATGATGAAGTGCCCCCCAGGCTTCTCAGCCACGCAAAGCCAGCCAGGCTGGTGTGTCCATGAGCCGGCTGCCTACCCCTGCCTGCTGCCTTGCAGACTACCTGGAGGATGGCTGGGCGCTGCCCTACGCCGGCCAGTATGTGCGCATGCCAGGCTGGTGAGCGCTTGCGCCCAGTGGCCCAGCCCGGTGCCGGCACCGCTCATGCTGCCACAGGCTGCTAGGCGAAGGCGCTGTGGCCTTCGTGTCTGCTGCGCTGCATGGGGTACTCACTGCGGTTGCCACACCTGACGCTCCCTGCCCTCACGCCAGTTTGCTCCCCCTATGCCCGCGCCCCACCCTCCTCCGCCTGGCAGGAACCAGAAGAAGTGCCGCGACTTCAACGACAACGACACCCCCGACTGCCAGATGTACGTCGTGCAGGCGGGCGACTCCGCCACCATGATCGCACAAAAGTTCAAGGTGCGCATGCGGTGGAAGTGGCGCGGGTGGGTGGGTGGGTGGGTGGGTGTGTTTGTATGGGGGCGGCCAGACTCCGGGGCTGCTGGCCTGGATGCGTGTGTCTGATGCACAGTGCGGCTGCCGGGCGGTGCCTAAGCCTGGGGTGGCTTGGCGCTGCCGGCCTGGCGCTGCAGGTCAGCCTGGAGGACATGCTGGAGCTGAACGAGCTGAATGACACCGACGCGTTGCAGCCCAACTTCAAGGTGAGGCCGGCGGGCTGCGTCTTTGTTGCGCCTGATGAGCGGCGGCGGGCTGATCCACTGGGTTGGGAGGCTGGAATGCACAGGCCGGAGCGCCCACCACTTCCCACCTTCGCTGTTGCGTGCCATGTTGGCTGCTGCTGTCAGTTGACGCGGCAGACGAGCAACACCGAGCCTGGGTGGGCATTGATCCCTGTGTGCTGCGTGTGTTGCGCGGGTGTGCTGCAGCTGAAGATCCCCGAGTGGAATGAGACCTGCCCCCCGGAGGGCATCCCCGCCGTGGTGCCTGCCGACACCGTCGAGTGAGTGCTGCTCGCCTGCTGTGCGGTAATGGGTCGGGGACTCTGCGCTGACCGCGACTGTGTGGTGGCTGGTGGGGCAGGCAGTTTTGGATGTGCATGCTGGCACATGAAGACAGCCCCAGCGGGTGGAGCTGACCTGCTGGCCCTTCTGGCTCCCGCCTCTGTGCAGCTGCCGTGTGACGCAGCTGGGGGAGGGCGAGTCGCTGGCCTTGCTGGCCGAGGAGGTGCGCACTGTGCCGCTTGGTCTGTGTCCTGCGCCGTTTTGCCAGCGGCACACCTCAGCGGCAGAGGAGGGTGGCAGCTGGCAGCAGGGTGTGCCAAACAATGTGCATTTCAAGGCGTCGTTGTAACCCTCTCACCCCCCCTCCCTCGGCCCTGCGCTGCCTGTGTGCCTGCCCTGCAGTACTCCACCTCTGTCCAGGACATCCAGAAGGTCAACCCCACCCTGAAGAACGTCACCACGCTGCAGTGAGCGCCGCTGCTGCCGCCAACTGCATGCGGTGGTGCGACCCTGAGCTCCTGCATGGCGCTACGCAACCAGGGGAGCAGGGCGCCCCCGCCTGAGGCCCCCTTAGTTCGTGCTGATCTGCTGCGACCCCCTCCACGATCTGTTCTGCAGGCCCGGCATCTATGTGAACCTCCCTCCTTTCCCGCGCGCCTGTGTGGGCAATGGCAACCTGGTGGATGTGGCCGGGGAGAGCACCGTGCCTGAAGACTTCGATTACAATGGCCTGAAGGGCGTCAAACCTGCCCCCAGCCCGCCTCCGGCCACTCCCAGCCCCTCCCCGCCGCCCGCTGTCGCCAGCCCGTCCCCCGCGCCTTCCCCCAGCCCATCCCCATCTCCCTCGCCTGTTGAGGCGCCCGCCCCAGTGCCGACCCCTGCCAGCGCTGCCACGCCGATGGCCGCCGCCAGCCTGCTGGCTGCGGTACTGGCCCTCCTGGCGGGCGCTGTGCTGCTGTGAAGGTAGCCCACCGGCTTTGCGGGTTCCGTTGCAGTCCTGAGTGATTTATTGGCCCACACCCAGCGGGCGCCTAGATGACCACCATTGAAGCCCGAAAGAATGGACGGGGCCTTGTTTCACGTTGCTGTTGTTTGTGTCCATCTCCTGCCCCCATTCATTTAACTTGTCTTCTTTCTCTCTCTTTAACGCACTGCCTGCCCTACAAGCTTGCGGAGCGGGGAGGGTGCTTGGAGCATGCCTAGCAGCAGATGACCCCCCCAACGGAGTTGTGCGTCAAGGCAGGAAGCAATCCGGGGTTGACTGAGCTACTGATACATTGCAGAGGGGATAAGGGCCTCTTTGCTAGGCGGTTCAATGGGAGGAGCCCCGCCCGCTGAGTCCATCTCTCCTCTCTGGAGCAGGCTGCGGCATGCAGGCACATGCGCATGTGACACAAGGCATGCAGTTGTTTAAAGGAGTGGCCTGTAGGGGCGCCGCGTTCTGCAGGTGCTCCGAAAGCTCTCAATTGCCTGGAAGCTGATGGGGCGCGCGTTGTGAGGTGGTTGCCCACGGCATGCCCAGTGGGCGCCCATGGGCCAGATCTCTGGCGGCTTTCTTCCGGCCTCCGCGTGCGGCGATTCACCCACCGCCCGCGTCTCGCACAGCCATTCCCTGCTCCTGGAACTCGCTGCCACCGCTGCGGGCTGCCAGAGGTGGGTGCCGCCAACAGCAGCAACAGACAGGACGGCTGGGCCTTGCCTGGTGCTCAAGGCCCCCATCTTCAAGGTTCCTCTGCACTTGCAGTGCTAATTTGGCACCCGTCGCTTGCTGCCCGCAGGCAGGAGCTCGACGCCAGTCGCCGCCGCGTTTGAACCACCATGCAGCGTGCAGCGGTTCTGCTGCTCGCCGCACTGCTCGGCCTGAGCGCCGTGTCAGTGCAGGCCGCAAGTGAGTGTCTGTGCTGCTGTCCCCCCGTGGTTGCGCTGCCATCCCCACCGCAACCACCGTAGTGAACTAATCTGCTTCACCGTCCCCTGACCGCAGCCGTGTGCCAGACATACGTGGTGGCGGCCGGAGACACCGTCGGCACCATTGCGGGGCAGTTTAGCCTGACTGTCCGTGAGTGCCCCTTGCCGCCGCCGGTGCTTGCCGCCGCCGCCCGGCCGCCGCCCACGTCTAACAAGTGCTATTCCACAGGCCAGCTCACATGTTGCCTGCTTGCTGCTTCTGTTGGCCCTGTTGGCCCACCGGCAGACCTTTGATGACCCTTTGCTCCCCTTCCTGGGTGCCTGCAGCTGAGCTGGAAGCAGCGCTGGCCGACTGCGACCTGTTGGTCACCGGCTACACACCCGGAGACTTCCTGCAGGCCAACCAGAAGATCTGCCTTCCCGGCTGGGTCGGAGCCTGCCTGAACGTGCAGGCTGCAGGTGCGCGTGCGCGCCGCGCAGGGGTAGCAAGGCAGGAACCCGCGTCGACAGCGTACCGCACTGAACTACTTCAGAACCGCATGGCCCGTGGCCGCTCAGGTGGCGTAACAACTGCCTGCGCATCACGTCATGCCATCCCGCCCCCTCTGCTGCTTACTGCGCAGGCGGCAACGAGGCGTGCAAGTACTACACCGTGCAGCAGGGTGACACGATGGACACCATCGGCAGCTACTTTGGCATCCCACGTGCCGACATTGTGGCCGTCAACCCGGAGATCAACCCAGCAACCCTCGCTGTCAACTCTTACGTCAAGCTCCCCGACTGGTGCGCGCCCCTACAGGCTGCCCCCGCCAGCAGCTGCGTCTAGCTGCCTGGCAAGCGGCCATGCAAACGGCCTGTTTGTGTGCAGCCCATGCACTCGGGACTGCGCGCGTCTGCCGCGCAAGGGCATGCTGGCATGCTGCCCTGCCAGCTCGGCCCAACAAAGCCCACTGATGTATCTGCCCTGCTACGTGTCTTGAATGCAGGGATGCCACCTGCCCCCAGCCCGGCAAAGGCCAGAGCTGCCGCTTCTACGTCGCCGAGAGCGGCGACTCGCTGTCCTCCATTGCCACCGCCTTCTCCATCCTGCTGTCCGACCTCCAGGCCGTGAACACCGGCCTGGGCGCCGATGCCACCGCCGTGCTGCAGCCGGGACAGAAAGTCCCTCTGCCTCCCTTCCCCGAGAGCTGCGCCGAAGGTGGGCTTGGTTTGCGGGCGTGGGGCTGCAGCGCCGCAGCCTGCGCTTTGTCTCTATGCCCCTCGCCCACGCACGATGAGCTGTCTTACCCTCAGCCCACGTGCCTGACTTGCTGCGCTGGTGCTGCCTGGTGCCATTCCTCCTGGTTCTGCAGGTGTCCAGGTGACCAAGCCTAGCAACTGCCGCGCGTACCAGGTCATCGAGGGAGACACCATTGCCAGCATCGCTGCCATGGTGCGTTTCAGGGCAGCTCGCCTGGATCAGTAGCCCTTGCCTGGCTCAAGCTGCCATGCGTGTGGACTTGCCAGCCATGCCAGTCGTGCCCCTTGTCATCATCTTCACCAGCCCACCACATCCAAGCCCTTGCCTGATGCATGCATGCCCGCGTTTTGGCCCGCCTAGCCTGCCTGCCTCACCACTTTCTGCACTCCCTGCGCTGCAGTTCCAGTCGAGCTCTGCCGACCTCGTGGCTGTCAACCCTGAGCTGGCGGCCGGCGGGGTGCTGTCCCCCGGCACCATTGTGAAGCTGCCCCCTGCGTGAGTGGTGCCACATGCAACAGCTGGCCTTGGATTGGTTGGGAATGCGCAGCAGCTGTCTTCCTGTTCCATCAATTGCCTCCTTGCAGCTCCGACTGGCCTATGCCTGCCCCGCCCCGTGCAGCGATGAGTCTTGCGTGAACCCCGAGCTCGTGAGCGGCGTGCCCTCACCTCCCATGCCCCCAACGTGCGTCTCTGCCACATTGCATGAACTGCGCCCGCCTGCAACCACATGCATTGGCGGCCTGCTGTCAGGTTGTTGCACCGCCTCCCACTCCCAGTGTGGCAGGCTAAAGGCCTCCACTTTCTTATGCTGTCCATTGCTGTTGTGTTCAGGCCTCCTCCCTCGCCACCAAGCCCTCCCTCACCATCCCCCTCTCCCTCCCCATCACCCTCCCCGTCGCCTTCCCCGGAGCCCGTGGTACCTGAGACGCCCGAGGCCGCCCCAGAGGCTGCCCCTGCTCCTGAGGAGCAGGTCATTCCTGAGCCAGCGGCCGCCCCCAGCCCCGAGCCCGCTGCGGAGCCACCGGCTGCCCCGTCGCCTGCCCCCACGCCGGCGCCCGCCCCCGAGCCCACCCCCGCCCCCAGCTCTGCAGTTGCCAGCACTGCCAACGTGCTGCTGGCTCTGCTGGCCATGGTCGGCGCAGCGGTTGCCGTGTTCTGAGCATAGCACAGCTGCGCAGCACAGTCCAGTGCTTTGCTGCGGTACTCGCTGGGGCTGCGGCAAGCTCTCAGTTTCAGTGCGCTTTTTTAACCAAGACTTGTTGTCCTTCTAGCCCGCCTGCCACATTGGCATCTTTCTGTCCATTGCGTGGCTTTTTGTCGATCAATCTCTATCCCACATAGTTTAGCTCCCGCCGACGCTGTTGGGGGAATGCCAGCAACCCAGGCCGCCTTTCCCAAACCCGCTGTTCTCTCCCATAGGCTCCAGCACCTCGTGCTCAATTGTGTTAGCCTGCTGGGCAGGCTGCCACGCGCGTGTAATCCAGATGCGCGTGCATGGCACTGACACGGGCCGGTGGCTTGCGGTGGCGGCCGCCCGGGCTGGCACTGTGCATCCCTCCTTAAGGCGCCTGGCTGGAGGCGGATGGTGATATGAGATGGGTGCGGTTGTCCAGGCCGGGAGAGCAAGGGGCTCTTCACAACTCCTCCACTACAACTGTGACCACAAAGCGGGCCCACACTGATTGAACCAGTTGCAGGTCCCCTCACAAGCCTGTACAGGCTGTGTGATTGAAAATCTTGACTTCAGAACGAGCCGCTCGAGCGCGCCGTCGTATGCGGCGAAAGGGGGGAAGCCCGCAGCACGCAGCAGCACGAGTCACCGCATTCCATCGTCCCCTGCGCCGGCTTTCACGCAACAAGGCTGCTGGCAATTGTTGGAGGGCAGGCCTTGGGTTGTGGGGCCGCTGAACAGCGCGCATCTTGTGCCAACCGCCGGCAGCTGGTGGGCTGAGCCCTGCCCCTGAGCCCTCGGCACCGGCGCTGCGGCAGCTGAAGCATCCATGGCGGGGCTGCCTGCGGGCGAGCTGAAGGGCACGGAGTATGTGGAGCCGCTCAAAGGTGCGCCGCGCTGCCAGAGCCGGGGCTGGGGCAGGCGCCGCCCTCCCTGTGCCCAGCAGTGATCGGCCAGGTGCTGGGCAAGCAGTGGAGGTGCCCGGGGCCTGCGTGGCATACCAGTGGCAGCACGGGCTGCATCCCCCTGCTGCACCGCGTCCCCCCCAAGCTCGCCCCTCTCACTAACTGTCCTTCCCCCGCGCCGTACCCCTGCAGATGCGGAGATGGAGGTGAGCAGGCGGCTCAGGGGCGCCGCAAGCGGGCTGCGGCGGTGGTCGCCGCCTGCGGCGGCTGCGACGCGTGCAACAGGTGGTTGGTCTGCCCTGCTCCCTGCCGCACCATTTTCTGCCTGTTGTTGCTGCCCCTGCAGGAGATCTTCGTTATCAACGATGACATCACTGTGGAGAAGCCGATTGAGGACTACTACGGGGAGCTGGACAAGCGGCTGCAGGGGCTGAAGAGCCAGCTGGGGTCGGACGCCGACTGGATGCCCAGCACGTACGAGAAGTACATGACGGGGCAGCACCAGGTGGCGGGCAGCCTGCAGCGCAACGTGCGGGAGTATTACAATGATTTCAAGCTGCTGCGCGCAGACACGCAGGTGCGTGGTGGCACTTTGGCTGTGCACAAATAAGCTGGCGCTGGTGCCTGTTGTTTGATGTGGGGCGGTATGTTCAGCTCGATCAGGCGGGCAGGAGCATGAATGTTGGGGCCTTCATTAGGGGGCTGCTGCTGCCGGGAGCTGCATGTACAGGTCGCAGGCCTGCTGCTTTTGGCAATGCATGGGCTGCCCATATTGCGTTGCTGCAATGGGCTGGACGGGGCGCCTCACCCTCCCGCTCTGTGCTGCTGTGCGCCCGTGCCGCAGGTGTACTACCCCGTGCCCAATGAGGTGTACCGCGACGAGTGGGACGATGTGCAGGTCACAGACCCCATGGAGTTCACGCACTGCCGCTACACGCCAGTGGTCACAGAGGTTGGCATGCTGTGCCCGGCAGGCAGCGCCTTGCTGTGTGGCCGCCTAGGCGGTATGCAGCCAAGCGCTGCCATATTTTCGGCAGACCACCCGAATGCCATGCATTTATTTGCCGTTGGTGTCGTCCCCCGACCGCCCCCCCCCCCCCCCCGCAGGATGCACGCGACTTTGGCGTGGACGGCTACACGCTGCGCTTGCAGCGCATGGACCGCAAGATCAAGCTCTTCATCTGCGTCACCCTCTACAACGAGGACTATGATGAGCTGCGCAAGACGCTTGTGGGCATCTGCGACGTGAGCCGCAGCCCCCCTGGCTCTAGCCCGCCCCCTCCGATCTCCAGCGCCAGCCCAGCCTGCGCGTGCTTGCTATGGTGCACGCGTCCCTTGTCTTTTCTCCTTGAACCCTCATCTGCAATCTCTCACTGTTTCTGGCCTGCCGCCCCCTGCCGGCTGCAGAACCTGGAGGTGATGTACGACCAGTTTGTGGCCAAGGACGGGCGGCGCGGCGTGGACTGGACCGAGGTGGCGGTGTGCATCGTGCAGGACGGCATCGGCAACGCCAACGAGAGTGTACTGGCCGCCTCCACCGTGCACGGCTTCTTCTCGCCCGTGGTGCTGCAGAACTCGGTGCTGGGCGCGCCCACCACGCTGCACCTGTTTGAGTACACGGCACGGTGCGCGGGCAGTTGTTGCTCACATGGCTGGCTGGCTGGCTGAACGGCTGCTGTCCCGGCCATCGCTCTCCAACCACGTCTGCTGCCCTGGCCTGGCCTGACGCATTCTGGCACTGTGTGGCGCCACCCTGCCGCAGGTTCAAGAAGTATGCGGGCCTGGACAACTACCCGCCGCTGCAGATCATGTTTGCCACCAAGGGCAAGAACAAGGGCAAGCTGGACAGCCACTGCTGGTACTTTGACGCCTTCTGCTATCTGCTCCAGCCCGAGTACTGCGTGCTGTTTGACGCGGGTGCGTGTTGAGGCTGCTGGGCTGCGCGGCTGCTGGCTGGTGCAAGCCAGGGAGATGCATTGGGGATGCAGGCGTTATGCATGCTGGCGCGGTGCAGCCCGCCCAAGCTGAGCATGATGCATGCAAGACCCAGGCGCCCGCTCCTCTTTGACCACCTTTGGCCTGCTGCCACTTGTGCTGCAGGCACCAAGCCGCTGCCGGCCGCGCTCAAGTCGGTGGCCACCCACTTCCAGCGGTACCCCACAGTGGGCGCGCTGACTGGGGAGCTGACGGTGCAGCGCCCCTACCGCACCTTCCTGACCGCGGTGCAGTTCTGCGAGTGGAAGGTGTCCCATCTGATGCAGAAGCCCATTGAGTCCATCTGCGGCTTCCTCACCGTGCTGCCTGGCGCCTTCTGCGCCTTCCGCTGGGCCGCTGTGGAGGTGCGCACTCCCTGCCGATGGCGAAAGCGCCGCTGCTCAGTTAGCAGCCGGCATGACGAGTGGGCGGTTCTACTTTCCGCGTGCCCTGCACAGTGTCAACCTTCTCTGACGTCCTGCCATGCTGCATCCCGCTGTGCCTGCAGGGCGAGCCGCTCCGCAAGTACTTCTATGGCCTCTACAGCCAGGCGGAGCTGAACGCGTTTGAGGCCAACATGTTCCTGGCTGAGGATCGCATTCTGTGCATTGAAGTGGTGGCCAAGAAGGTGCGCGCTGCTCCCCGCTTTGTTTGGCGGCGGCTTCTCCATGCTACTTGTATCTGCTCCATGCTACTGGCATCTGCCTCATCACACTGTGCCTCCGCTCAACCCCCACTCCACCCGTCCCTCCCGCAGGGTGCCAACTACCGGCTGGAGTACATCAAGGAGGCGGTGGCGGAGGCTGATGCAGTGACCAAGCTGACAGGCCTGATGAAGCAGCGCAGGCGCTGGCTCAACGGCACCTTCTTTGCCATGCTGTACGCGCTGGGCAACATGGGACGTATCTGGACGGAGAGCTCGCACAGCGTGTTGCGCAAGATGGTGCTGACGGCCGAGTTCTTCTACCTGCTGGTCAACCTCATCATTGGAACCTGGTGCGTGACGCAGGGCGGCTGGGGCTCATCCCCTGACCTGCCCACCCGGTAGCAGGGTCGCAGGATGTCATGCGCGCCGCCATCTTGTGCTCAAATGGCTGCCCCCTTTGGCGCCTGCAGGTTTGGCATCGGTATTTTCTACGTGCTGCTTGTCATGCTGTTAAAGGTGGCATTTGATGGCGCCACCTGGCTAGAGCAGCTGGGTAGATTGGTGGGCCTGCTATATCTGTTCCTAATCATCGTACAGGTGGGTGGCAGAGGGGCAGGGAGGTGCGAGCAGTGGAGCAAGTGTGCCGTGAGTATGAATTCTGCATGGCCTGCCCGCTTCTATGCTGGCTCACGTGCTCCACACTGGTGCGGCCCACTCCTCTGGCTGCAGCTGATCATCAACATGAAGAACAAGCCTGAGGCGGTAGAAAAAGTGCACTCCTTCTGTGCTATCTATTTCTGCCTCTACATGCTTGTCTTCACCGGCGTGACCATCAGGTGCAGCAGCTCCCCATGACCTGCCTTGGGACGTGCCAGCCCGTTGTGTTGAAATTCTCTTCTGACTGACCCTTGTGCTCCTCTCATGACTGTCTGCCCCATCGCCCCCTTTCGCCTGCAGCTTCCTCATCACCAACACCGACTACTCCTTTATCGGCATCTCCACCCAGCAGCTGGGCCTGTTGGTGGTCATCCTGCTGTCTGCCATCGGCGGCATCCTACTGACCGCGCTGCTGCACGGCGAGCTGCTGTCCGTGCTGGGTGCTGGCTTCCAGTACTGGATCATGCAGCCAGTGTTCTTCAACATGCTCCAGGTGGGCTGCGGCGGGCAGGCGGCAGCAGGGCTGGATGCCTGCCGGAGACAGAACAAGGCACGTCTTGCTGTTGCTGCGCTGGCTGGCCGACCGCCTCCCCTGCTACCCTGCAGATATACGCCTTCTGCAATGCCGACGACATTTCCTGGGGCACCAAGAACCTGGACACCAAGCACGCCGACCACGACGCCAAGAAGATGGCCTCCAAGGCGCTGGCCTACCAGGTTAGCGGGTGCCTTGCAGACTAGCAGCACAGGTGCCTGCCGGGTTGCTCGTGCGCTCACAGGTTGCGCGGCGCCCCTGCCTGCTGCTTGTCGCCCGCAGGTGCGGCCCAGCAGGACGTCCAAGGCCTTCTGGGAGGCGATGGGCAAGGTGCAGAGCCACCTGACCGACGCCAAGAAGGTTGCGGCATACAACCAGAAGAAGGAGCAGAAGATGCGGGTGAGTGTGGCGGGGTGCCGGTGTGTTGGGACCAGCATCGGCCCCAACAGCCAATCGGCCTGTCACACCGTACCATCCCTGCTGCCACATCCGCCGCCCTGAATGTCGCGGCAACCTCCCTCCTCCTCGCAGGCTTTCTCCTCCTACCTGCTCATCGCCTGGGTCTCCACCAACGTCTTCTTCGTGGCAGCAGCCACCACGTTTGCCAACTCCACATGGTGAGCCGACGCGCCAGCACCAACCCTACATTGGGCACCGCCATAGGGCTCCATCCTGCTGTCCGTCACAGGCCTGCTTAGCCTGCTGGCATCATCCCTCATCGCGCATTGCCCCCCCCGCCCCCCCCAAAAAACAGGGAGACATGCGCGCTGACGGAGAGCGAGCAGGCGGTGAATGCGGTCAAGAGCCAGGCGCAGGAGGGCGACAAGGCGCTGATCTTTGCCGACCTGATGCAGACGGCGGTGACCATCCTGCAGCGCGGCGAGGCGCTCTACCCCTTCCACGGCCTGCAGGGCTTCCCCGACAACTACCCCATGCTGGTCACCGGCGACGCGCAGTCCAACTGCGTGCGCGGCTCCGCCTGCACCGTGCTGGCCAACGCCACCGAGCTCTTCACCAACATCGACTCCTCCATGCCCAAGTTCAGCGACTGGCTGCAGCAGTCCATGGGCATCAACTCCACCGCCACGCTGGAGGTGAGGGCACGCTGCGCAGCGCTGCACTGGCTGGGCGCATGGATGGCACGATGCTCTGCAATGGTGCTTCGGCTGAATGGCCGGACAGACGCAGCAGCTCCAGCCCTACCCCCCTCCTGCACACACACACGGCGTCTCACCTGCCTGCCCCTGCCGTGCCCTGTGCCTGCAGGAGTACAGCCGCATCTGGCTGCCCATGCCCTCCAACACCACCAACGGCTACGACGCCCACGTGGTGTGCACCATGCACTACGGCTACACCTACTTCCTGCAGATCATGTTCATCCTGCTGTGCTTCATCGTCATGTTCCAGGTGGGCGCGCGCTCTGAGCTGAGCTTGCCTGCCGGGTCCTGCGGGCGCCAGCGGGCTCTGGCGACACTCTCTGACGCTCGCCGCCTCTTCCTGGTGCCTCCTGCAGGTGGGCGGCTCTGTGCTGTTCATCTTTGCCTACTGGATCCGGCGCTGGACGGGCCGCGACAAGCGCGCCGACAAGCGCGCCGCGCTGGCGCACGCGGCCAGCATCAACGCTGCGGCGGGTGGTGCCATGGGCGGCGCCGCCATGGGCTCTGTCAAGTCCTTCTACAGCAGCGACCCCACAGGCAGCGAGGTGGAGATTGCCATCCAGCCCGGCAGCGCGCGCTACGCGGGCGGGCAGATGCACGTGCCGCAGTCTGGTGAGCGGGCAGGAGGCTGGGTGCCTGCGGTTGGCAAGGAGGGGCTGCGTCGGGCAGAGATTAGATTGCGTGTGGCGTGGCAGTTAGGGTCAACCGTTGGCTAGCTGTGACGTGGCGTCTCCCCTTCTCTTTGCGTGCAGAGCAACTGACGGACGAGAGTTACTCGCCACGCAGCGACGCCAGTCCGTCCCCTGTGCGGCGGCGGCGGCCAGAGTCGCCGTTTGGCAAGTGAACCCAAACATGCCTGATCGATAACAACCCATAGCCACGCGCGCTGTGCCGGCAGTTGTGACTACCAGCAAGGTGGCGTGCCTGGCCAGCAGCAGCAGAAATAGCGCAGGCCCGCCGTGCCACGGCTGCCGCATTGGGCGGCCGCACCAGCGCGGAGAGTCCAGCAGTTAGAACCACCCTTGGTTACAGTTCAGTTGCCCTCCCACAAACATCACTGCCGCTCGATTTGTTCTCTCGTTTGTTGGCTGGCACCCGCAGAGGCTCCCCTTATCAGGCTTTGACAGCAGCAGCAATGCAGCGTTTTTTCTTGTTTGCTGGGCCCCTCATCTTGGTGCTCCGCACCTCGCTCTTTCTGTATGTAAGCATCGCTATTCCCAGAGGCAATCAGGACAAGATGGTGGTGTTTTACACAATGGTTTAGGCTTTGTGCTTTTTGGCATTGGAGCCAGCCACCCTGCGGGCTTTCTTGCCACCCCCCGCTGAAGCGGCACCAGGTGGCGGCGCTTTGGCGGCCTTCTTCTCTGCCTTGCCACCGCGTCCCTTCTGCTCCTGCTGGGCCTTGTGCTGTTTGCCCGCCTTCTGCTGACTTTTGGCCGGGACGGCTCGAAGCACTCCGGCGTCCCACAGAGCCACTGCCACCTGCAGCTGCAGCTCCGGCTCTGGCAGTGCAATGCTGCGCACAGGCACTGGCCTGCCGCCGCCCGCTGCATCCGCTGCGCTGCCCAGCAGTTGCACCAGGGCGGGCGCAAACTCTGCAGGAAACACTAAATCCTCCTGGCCCTCCTCCTCCTCTTCGTCCTCCTCCTCCTCCCCGCTGCTGTCCTCAATATCCTCCGAATCGCTGCTGGCGCCCAGCACCTCGGCATCAGCTTCCTGTGGCTTTCGCTTGCGGCTGACCGCCGTGGCCGCTGCCATCGCCTTCTTAACACCCGGCAGCCGTTCCTCCACGTCTTCGCTGGACATCTCGCTACCGCTCTCATCTGCAGGCGGCAGGCAAAAGGCCCATGGCAGTTCAACCAAGCCTCCCACCTCGCAATGCAACGTCACTCCAGCACGTAGCTTAGCAGAAAACCAGCTGGCACCCGCAAGCATCCCAGCCCTTGAGCTCGTTTCTCACCCTCGCTGCCACTGCTGCCCTCCTGGTCGCTGCCGCCGTCCCCGCCGCCGCTCATCATGTGGCTGCCTCGGTCGTTGTGCAGGCAGCTCACGAGGCGCACCCAGGCGGCCGGGACGCAGCAGTCGCCTTGCTCATGCTCGTATTCCTCTTCTTGGGAGTGGGCTCCATGCCCCTGGTGGTGGGGGTGGTGGTGATCGTGGTCCTCCTCGCACTCACTGCCGCACCCCTCCTCGCCGCCATCCGCTGCAACACAGGGTGACGGCGCCGCTTCAGTGTGCAGGCCACTCACACACGCCGCAGCGCGCAGGCCCTGCAGTCTGAATGCTGCACGCACCACCCAGCTTCACCACTCACTTCCATTCAGGGCCACCAAACGGAAAAAGCTGCTCCCCACACACTGCACACTGTCGGCCAGCGTAGGCGCCGGGCCAAGCGGCGGCAGCTGTTCCGGGTGCGGTGGCAGCCTGCAGGTGTCAGGGAGGCACACAGCCAGCCTACTCAGCACCAGGAACTGCTTGCACCCAGAGCCACCATCAGTTCAGAGTCGCCCACATTAAGTCCGCGCAATGGCGCACCTGTTGCGCATGAAATCCTCGGCCATTGCGTCCCCCGCGGTCAGCATCAGGCGCGGCCCCAGCTCTGCATCCTCAAGGCATGCTGCCATGCTGCGGCAGGCGGCCGCCAGCTGTCGTGCCAGCGCCGCCTTGCCGTCGCCGCTGCCCTGGCCGCTGCCCGCTGGCGCGGCGGGCAGCATGGAGCCGGGGCCAAACCCGCCTGCCGCCGCTGCCATCGCGATCGCGTCGCCAGCAGATAGGCTCGCATCGGAGAGCCAGCGCAGCGGCAGACCCGCCTTGAGCGGCGGCGCCAGCAGCGGCTGCAGCTGCGGGTTGGCCAAGGCCACCGAGACAGCGTACTGGACCAGGTCCGCGGCAGACCAGCGCTGATACGTGGACAGGGTCAAGTGGCTGCTGCTGTGCATCTGCGCCTCGGCTTGGTGAATGGTGCCCCTGGGGATATAAAGAACATCAGCAGCCTGCACTTCAGAAATGGCGGCGCAAGCTTAGTACAGCCCCCAAGGCCATTACAGAATCAGGCTCAGCCAATTGTGTGCGGGTCTTGGGCCACGGCCCCGTGCCCAGGTGATCAAGGAAGCAAAACAGGGCTACTGCCCGCCGCTGCCACCCGACCCTGGGCGCCTCACCTCAAGCACCACCTCCAGCACTGGCTCGCCAATGTCGGCGGGCTGCAGGTCTCCGCTGACCTGGTTGGCCAGGTGGCAGCGGGCCAGCAGGCCGCCTGCCGCCGTGGAGGCACCGCTGTCGGCAGGCGGACGGTGCAGGCGCCAGCGCTTGCTGCCCTCTGTCTGCACCACAAAAATCTCAACATCATCATAATGTGGGGCCAGGCCTGCAAGGGGCATTGCGGAGGTGGGCAGGTGAACAGGAGGGAGGGTGGGGCGCAGCCTGGGTGGAGCGGGCACGTTGGCAACAGCTGGTGCCCGCGACCACTTGTGCTTCAAGCAGGCTGACCGGCTGGCCAGTTGGTTCACCTTGTGTGCCCTTGGGCGTCAGGTATGCATTGCACCCCGCCAGGCATCCAAGCTGGCGCTCCAGGGCGGCCAGGAGGCGCCACAGCTCCTCGCTGAAGCGCTGCAGCCATGGCCATGGCGGTGGTTATGCCAGAGGAACACTGAGAAGACTGGACCACGTGAGTGGCACCCAATTGCGCCAGCTCACCTGCGGTTGGTGAAACTGCACGGCACAGGTGGGGCGCGGCGGCAGGGGACCTGGGCATTAGATTGTGCTTGCAGAAGGAGGATGCACGTCCAGCACCACGAGTGGTGCACATTGATGCGGTTGCCGAACCATAAGACATGCTCAGCCAGCCACAGGGGCACCCGCTGCACCCACCCACCTGCATGGTGCAGCCCTCTGCAAACAACCTGTTAATGGTGGCAGCATCTGCAACCTGTGGAGAACACATACACAGGTCGTGCAATGTCTAAATATGGCCAGCAGGCCGCCTACTTTCTGCTCTCCAGATGCAAAGAGCTGCATTGGCTAGCCCACCTCGCCGTTGAGCGTCTCCCGAACTCCATTCAAGTAGCGGGCGGCATTCACATCAACTCCAAACTCCAGCGGTTTTCCCTCCTGCTCACAGATTCGTGCGAGGCGTTGCAGCTCAGCAAATGAGAAGAGGCCATCAAAGAGCTGGCGGCGCTCTGGTGTTGCCCTGAAAACCGCCGGCTCCTGCTCCCACTGGCGCTCAAGGAAGGTGGTCGCACTCTGTAGGCATCAAGGTGGGCGCAGCAACCAGCCTTGGGAACAGCATCATATACTTTGTGAGGAATTGCAACCAATCGATGAAGAAATTTCATTGAGTCCCTACAAAGTCATAGCAGCATGCATGGCTTGGCAGCAATCGGGCGCTCGCGCGCTCGTTGCACTCTGCGCTGCCTCACCCTCCCCAGGAGAAAGCTTAAAGGGTCAACATCGACGCTACTCCAGCTGAAAGCCACTTGTTGCGGCATGGTGGTGACCTACTGCCACAAGCGTCACAACGGTAAACCGCAGAGGCTAGTTATCAACAGCAGGTGAGCTGGTGCAAACTGTGCAGCATTTAGATTGGTCCAGGGCTGCCACCTGCAGGCTTCCTGAATTTGCCACGCGGCTGATGGTGAAGGAAAAGCGAGGGGATGACGTAGGGACTTTTCGGAAACAGCAAGCCCGTAGGGAAAACGGGCTGCTGGACGCCGCCTAGCGCGTTCGAGTCTCTCGAGAGGCTGTCTCGCTTCTCACTCACCATAGCAAGCCGGGGACGCCTCTGGGGCTCACAGAATGCGGCTGATAGTTGTGGAAGCAGGTGGGGCGCTGTCAGGCGCTGCTGGAGCACCGGCTGCCGCCGCCACCATTCTGCCGCCACCGCCACTCCGGCCTCTCCTGCCGTCCACAAGCCGGCATGTTGCCTGCCTCTTGCCCTCTTGCCCTCGCCCTGACGCATAATTTTGCCTGTGGCCTCTGATTGCAGCTGGCGTGGGTTATGCGGTGTACATGGGCTCCCTGCGGCTGGCGCAGGCAGTCTCGCCAAGGCTGGTCACGCGCTACCGCGAGATGACTGCAACAGAGCAGTTGGAATGGGACGGCAGGTGGGATAGCATGGGCATGCGGGGAATGGCGCGACACCTGCACTGCCGATGAGGGCATCTTGCAGCAGCATGCGCCCCATCAGCCTGCACGGGGGGGCGGGGGGGGCAATCGCTCATCTTGCTCTGTCCTGGCGGCCTGGAGTTGCAGGCTGCCCTCCACAATACACGCATTTGCCATCACTGCTGCCACACTTTATCTCTTCCTCCTGTCCCCTGTCTTTGCTGCGGGCGCGGTGAGCTGGCCAGGACGGCTGGGCCGTGTGTCGCACTTTCGCGCTGGCGGTGCTGCTTGAGCTTGGCAGCCCGCGCCTTCTCGGTGACACGTGGTTGCTGCCAGTCAGGCGGGCCACGGCAGCTGCTGCAGGCATTCGCTGACTGCCTGCCAGCCCGGCTTTCACTCCAGCTTCGCCCACCTGCCCTGTCGCAGGTGGGGGACAGCCCCTTTGTCCTGCGCACCTCGCCGCTATCAGATGCGGCGCTGGGTTTCTCTCTAGGGTACTTCTCCACGGACCTGCTGCTGCTAGTGCTGTACTACCCATCTTTTGGCGGCCCGGAGATGGCGGTACACCACCTGGCGGCCCTGGCGTCGGTCGCGGCGGCAGCCTTCCAGGCAAGCCCAGCCGGTGCAGTCTCAGTGCCAGACAGCTGGGCTGCGTGCATGCTTGGTTACGCTGGTGTTACGTTGGCTGCAGCTTCGCTGGGCAGTGGCGCTCACCGCAATCCCACAACCCGCTGCAGGGGCAGGCGCACGCCTACACGCTGGCACTGCTGGCCACAGAGTGCACCACGCCCTTTGTGAACCTGCGCTTCCTGCTGGACAAGGGCGGCTGGAGGGACCATCCCGCCTACACCGTCAACGGTATGGCGCTGCTCATCAGGTCGGCGCTGACACATGCCGCAGCAGGGCACCAGAGACGGTCGGGTGCCCAGGGTCGCCTGATCGTCGCAGCATGTGCACTGCATTGTGCACGAGGGGGGCTCTTTTTATTGCAGCTGGCGGGGGTCACTCTGTTTGCTGCCGCTGCCGCTATGTTTGCAGCTGGATTGTGGGCCGCCTCGTGCTCTTCCTGATATTCTTCTACCACGTCTTCCACCACTTGGGAGAGTTTCATTTGGTGAGAATGTTCCTGCTCCTGCTCCTGTTGGGGCTGCTGAAAACTTTTTAACTTACCCTGCGCCGTGCTGCTGCTCCGGTGCAGATCACGCCGCTCTCGCGATGGCTCATCTACCTCGTTCCGCCCACCCTGTTTGTGCTCAATGCGTTTTGGTTCACCAAGATTCTCAAGGGCGCCCTCAAGCTGATGTTTGGCCCGCACCGCAAGTGGCAAGGTGGCAGCAACATGGCGGCCACGGCGGCAGCACCAGCAGGTCCCTCGGCAGGGCGCGGGGAAGAAAAAAAGGAGCGCTAAGCTGCAGGCTCACGTTGACACTGTCTGGGCTATCTCACTTCTACTTTGGTCCCCTGTCTGTACCACCAACTCACCCCAGGGTGGGCCACCCCCCCCTTGCTTCGCTTGTTCTTGCCTGCGCTAGTGTGGTGATGCCAATTGCAAATGTGCCAGTTGGCCTTTAACAATGCTGAATCCTTCCCACCCCTGCCCATGTAACACGCGCTGTTGGCCCTATTTATCGCTGCTGCACCTGGCGGGACAGGTGCCCGCGCCCGGAGGCGGCAACAACCTCGGATCCCAGTGGAGGGGCCGCTGCTGCTGTTTTGCCTGGGGTCTGATGTTTTGCTCCCCCACCACCACCACCACCACCAAGGCACGTTCACGAGGCATGCATGCACATTCGCCCGGCATGTGTCACGTGCGACGCTGCTCCTCCAAATTACATTGAGTGCTCCAAATTGATTCCAGTGCTCCCCACAATCGGTGTCCCATTTCTCGCAGGGAGTCGCGAGTTTCTTCCGCGACACAGGGACGTGCCCGCAAAACGGAGCGCAAACACCCTCTCAGCTTCATCGCATTCCATAATCTGGACCCTTCTGCCAACCACAGTAGGTCTGCAGCTGAGGCGCCCCTGTGGACAAGGGTGAGGGTGCTCCGACACCCACCTCCCCGCAGGCTGCCCCTGGCATGTTCGTTTTCCATGCTGCACAGCGCCATTCTGCTCTCTGTACCCTTCCTCGGAGCTAGTTGAACGTATCCAGACCGAGCATGCAGCACGATGCTTCCCTGGATGCCGGACGGCGGCGTGCAGCGTGCGGCGGACGTTCACCCCTTCCTGCTCACCTTTCCCTGCACCCTGTGCTGCCCACTGCAGGCTTGACCACTGTCATATCTTGGGCACGCTGCATCTGAAGCCTTCTGCTAACATGATGGGCGCCATCCGGCTGCTGCTGGCCATCGGCCTGCTGTGTGCGGTTGGCGGCGCGCAGGCTGCGGGCAAGGACTCCAAGCTCTACGACTGCTCTCGCCCCTGCCCCAAGGTGCAGCTCCCTGTTGCGACGCTGCCTGCCTGCCACCGGCGTGCCCGCCTACCTTCTTGCTGGGCCATACATAAGATGGTTGAGACACCTGCCGTGTGTTCAGGCGGACTTCAACTACAAAATTGCGGTTGAGATCAAGCCGACCGTCATCTTGGGGTCCCCGCTTTACTACGTGTCCCGTCAGATCACTGGCGCAGACGAGCCCGACGACTGGGTCCTGGGTGAGATGCTGCGCTGCGCTGCTTGGCGCCCTTCTGCCTGGCGCCTCTCCACCGCTTTGTGTAGCAATGCTCATGCACGCTGCATGTCCATGCGCTCGATTCATTAGAGCACTTGCCGCCTTGTTGCTGAATGCAGCCCCCACGCTTCATGCTGAGCCCGGCAAGAGTTTCTCTGTGAAGATCAGGAACAAGATTAGCAGGAAGCTGAGCAAGCTGCTGGGCCCGCCCTCCCCCAACCGCACCGACTATGTTCGCGAAGCCAACCCTACCGATGGGCCCTACTCTGCTGCCAAGCCCTACGGCTTCCAGTTTGTGGGCGAGCAGCCCGACGGTGAGTGACCAACGGGAGCAAGTGAGCGCAGTGGCCGGTGCTGGCCTTGTGCTGCAGGCTGGCACAGAGCTTGCCCGTTACGGCGCAACTCAGCTCGTCGACACGCGCCCTCTCCTGCAATGTTGCAGCTGGCAACGACATGTCGATTGTGGGAAACAACAAGGCCTATGCTATCAACATTCCCCACCAGTACGATGCCACCAACATCCAGTGAGTGGCACACGAGGCGACAAAGCCTGCCTGCGTTCCCAGCACTGCAAAAAAGGCCACACCCCGCTTCTTGACCACATGCTCCGTTCATTTGCCTGCGTGTGCAGCTTCCACGGCCTCACCATCACTCCCCATCTGTTTGAGCCTATTGGGACTGACGAGGCCAAGGGTGAGTGGGTTTCCTGATTGGTGCTGCTCGGCGTGGCTGGCTGCAGCGTTGCACCAAGCTTTGTGAACTGCAAGCCCATCTCTGCTGCTTGGCTGTCTGCATCAATGGCTGTCTTCTTTACCCTGCACCTGCAGCCGACTTCATCAAAATTGCCCCGGGCGAATGCTACTGCTACAGTTTCACCCTGCCAGAGGACCACCCGGATGGCACCTTCTGGGTGGGTTCTCCGCCGCCAGATCACGTTCTACGGTGCTTAGGGTGTTGCTTGCCGCCATCCTGCTGATCGAGGCGGCCAACCTTCCTGCTTGCCCAGCTAGGCATGCTGCTTTGGCTGCCAAACCAAATTTCTGCAACGAACCCCTGACTGCAGTACCACATCCACCACCACGGCAGCGCAGCGCTGCAGTCCTGGAGTGGCATGGCGGGCTTGTTCATTGTCAAGGGCCCCACCGACGAGGTGCTTGAGGAGTACAGCAAGAAGCAGATGCAGTCCTCGGTGCCGTTTGTGATCTGGGACCCACATACCGTCCCGCTTGATAAGAATCATTCCGCGTACACTTTGGTTGCCACTAAAAAGGGTAAGCAAGCTGTTCGCTTCGAAGAACAATGCCTCCTTGCACATATGTGCAATGCCTGTTGAAACGACCTATGCCCTGCCGCTGCCCGCCCCACATTTGCTCTGCAGCCGCCGATAAGTACAGGGAGTACATCCAAGTGGGCGACTTCCTGAGCGACCAGAACGACGCAGGTGAGCAGCTACAGGTTGCTGGCTCTCCTGCCTCGCTACGGCCCGCTCCAGCAGCCTTTGCAAGAACACCTGCAAACACCACTGACTAATAGTTTATGTATCAACCTCCTGCAGACAAAGCTTACACCCTTGTCAACAATGCCTTGGTTCCCAACATGACCGCCGTGGCTGGCCAGACCATCCGCTTCAGGTAGAGCCTTGCACTAGTGCCGCCAGCATATATGCAGATCCTGGCACTGTGTGTTCAGCGCCCTGGATTGGGGGCTGCCTGCAGCATGGTGGGCTGCGCATGGCTGCACCTCCTGTCCCGCTCCTCTCTACCCTCCCCCCCGTGGTCTCGGCGCAGGGTTCTGTGCGCCACCACAGAGGCCATGTGCATGTTCCGCCTGGTGGACAAGAACGGCAAGCCCCACCCGTTCTACGACTTTGCCAGTGATGGCATCACCCAGACTGAGGCCATCAAGCGGTACCAGCTGATCCAGGCGGGCGGCTACCGGTGAGCGCCATTTCCGACAACTGACCAGCATGCGGTAATGGTCTCCGGCGCTGGCACTTCCGTGTCCCATGGCACTTTCCCACCTGCTGACTCCTGGACTCTCCTCCTTCTCCTGCTTTGCAGTGATGATGTGCTGGTGCAGATCACGAGGCCTGGGAAGTACAAATTTGTAAGTCCGGTTTGCTGCAGCCTGGTTGGGTTTGCACTGGGGGGGTTACATGTGCCACGGCTGCTGCTCTGGCTTGCTCAGTTTGATGCGCTGAACAGAGGTCCACGCACCCACCCACTGCCCGGTCGCCCTGCCCGTGTCCCATGCCCTGCAGATTCAGCAGGCCCTGAGCAACATGCAGTTCTTTGGCATGGGTGGGTGACACAGCGGACAGCACCAGCATCCAGAGCCTGCCAAATGGCTCTACAGCCGCTCCAGCGACAGGCTGGGTGCATGTGTTGCCCCCTGATGTGGCACCCTCCCGATTGGGCAACCCCCGCCCCCGCTCGCTCCTGGCAGCCCGCGCGGCGCTCCCCTCCCATACGTGAACTGACCCCATAGAGCCATGTTTGAGGGTTGAGCGGGGCGGAGCGGGGCTGCTTGCACACGTGATGGCATGCACGCTTCAACGCTCCCGCTGTCATCTCACCTCTCTAGCGTCAGAAATACAACTCTTACAAGCCAACCAACACGAACAGAGAGACCGAACAACAGAAATGAACAGGAAATATGAAGCCGCCACAGGCGGCAGCACCTTTCAGCGGAGACGGCAAAGCGTACAAGGCACACTTCTTCAATGGTTCTTGCAATTGCCACCCTTACCGGTTATACAGCCACAGTGCCGCCCACACCGCGCACCATTCTTCTTGCAGCTGCAGTTCCGGGTGCAGGCGCCGCGGCAGCCGCAGCGCACGGCTGCCTTGCCG